CACATTGAGTTCGAGCTGGTGAAGAGGATAGCTGGTTTTGCTGGTTGCAGTCCCAATTGTCTTACAGATATAACGGCGTCTCAACCATCGCTTGGGGATTATAAGCATTCCAAATGCGAAATTTTTTGTACCAACAGTACAGAAAAGACAACTTTAGCGTGGTGGAAACCCGATCCATGGTTGATCGAAATATAAGCTCCACTGAGCGATTATTGCGACCGAATATTGGCTTTGCCGCAACCGAATCATTTTTTTGTTAATAATCTTGCACAATTTGCAAACGTTGGTCCGGAGTAAGTCTGTTCATAACGAAATGGCAAACCAAACTGAGTATAAATCAAGTGATAGCTGTCAAAAAGGCCTACGCCAAAAAAAGTATTGTCTCATCGAAAACAACAAATGTATCTAAAAGGAACACCCTTTATTTAGTTACTGCAGATGATATCATTTCCACTTCAGTTAAGTGAATTAATACCACCACAATGGGCTGTCATGGGAGGCGAAATGTTTTTTTTTTGTTTTTGTTTTTCTTTTTGTTTTTGTTTTTGTTTTCTTTTTTAATAGGTGTGCACGCATAATGCAGCAAGGTCTTTTTGGTCATCCATATCGTGGTGTTAAGCCAATGTGTGCGGTAGGTCGTTAGTTTTATTAGATAAAACCATATTTTTGTTCATTTTTACACATACACACACATACAAGCTTACGCATGTATATTAGGAAGTTATGCATGTCATTGAAAACTAAATTAATTCCTTTTACAAAAGAAGGTCATGGCATGGTATCGGCAGGAGATAACGAACTTACTTACATTAGGGTTTGATGAGCAGAGTTGGCGATAACTGTGAGCGAGTTGAACTTTCTAGCTCGCAAATGTTCGCTTATATGTATGTACATATTTATAAATTGATACTCATATATGAAAAAAAAATGACGCCAAAAATATAATTTATGAGTTTTTGCGCTGCAATTAATTAAATGTAATTTGTTTTAATTTTCATTGGATTTTATTTTATTTACATAACATTTCATCACATTTGAAATTAATTTTATACAATTTATTTTATATTCTCTTAAATAATTTTCAAAATTTTGTGATAAAAGTTACTCATACGTTCCAACGAATCTATGAATTTAGCCATAAAAAGAGGCCATTAATACGTGAATACGTGTCAACCTCGTCTTGGGAGACATACCCAATCGTAAAGTTCTATCACTTACATATATCAGGTGTACAACTTTGATTCCGCCGTTTTCCGTTAGGTGGCTGTACCGGCTGAGGCTGGTTGAAATACATAGATGATAATGCCTTTAAAGTGAGTGTGGACAGTGCCTAATGAATTGTCATCACCGTTTCAGTGACAGTTGTTCTGGTTTTCGTATTATTCACGCTCGAAAAAGTCCGTTTATGTGCCTAATTCTCGCCATTTGAGGGAAGTTTTACTTTTCTGTTACAATTCGAAAAAAATGCAGCTGAAGCGCATCGAATGCTCTCAGAAACTTACGGTTATGCTGCTCTGAGTGAAAGAACGTGTTGGGAGTGGTTTCAACGTTTTAAAAATGGTGATTTCGATGTCGAAGACAAACATGGTGGAGGAAGAGATGAAACCTTCAAAAACTACTTAAAACCGGGTGAAACCATCACAGGAGATCGCTACCGAATGCAACTGATGCGCCTTAGTCGCGCGCTAAAAGAAAAGCGACCACAATATCAAGAGCAACATGACAAAGTCATCGTCCAACACGACAATGCTCGGCCTCACGTCGCAAAAGTGGTCAAAATGTACCTGGAAACGCTGATATGGGAAGTCTTGCCACACCCGCCGTATTCCCCAGATGTCGCCTCTTCTGACTTCCGTCTATTCCGTCCGATGGCACACGGCATGGCAGATCAACTCTTTCAATCCTTCGAAGAATTGGAAAAATGGATTGCTTCATGGATAGCGTCAAAAGAGGGCTCCTTTTTACGAGCCGGAATCCGAAAATTGACGGAAAGATGGGAGAAAGTTGTCGCTAGCGAAGGACTATACTTTGAATAATATATCTATAAGCTTTTAATTTTGGAAAAAAAAACGGCGGAAGCAAAGTTGTACACCTGATATATAATTGGCGCTTTGTAATCGCTGAAGCGATTTTCGGCCGAGCTCCTCCTACATTTTTCGTTTTTGCGTTTTTATGTTTTTCCAACAAATGGAGGTACCTACATTTTATACCAAGCCGACTCCGAACGGCTTAATTTTTTATTTAATTTAATTTTCTATAACTTCTGGATGCTGGTCACTCGGGAAATTGAACCCAAGCCTTCCAAATGGCAATACGCAATACTAACCACTCGCCAACCGCGGCCGCCATCACTTATTCCGGTGAATAAGAGTCTAGCCCCAATCGGCATTAAAGAGGAGTTCTTTAGCACAAAAACAGACAACCAGATCGATCTGGTTTTGATAGGCAGACGGCATAACTTCAGTGTTCTAGACAACGCCTGCTCTTCGTGGACATAATGCCATTTCGAAGCACTATTTTGGAGCTGGAAAGATATGCACCCGCCACTGTGCAGCAAATAACGTCGATCAACAAACAAATGGAATATTCGACGTCGAATAGCTGAAGTCACCTAAAGGTTTTTATCTCGACTTAGACTCCTGCTCTCTGAGAACTCTCAGGCTCCTTTCGCACGGCGGCAAACGAAACTATTTGTTTTCAACAAATTCAAAAGACGGGTTGGTGCAATAAGATACCTGAGCATGGGGCACAAGAATGTGACCCAACGACTGGTGCCCAGAGTATACTGAATGGATGGAAAACTTCTCCGCAAACGATGGCGATCCGGAATCCCATTCAAATAAGGCTGCCCAGAACTGGCATGGTGCATGCATCAACTTCTTTGCACCTCTTCGTCAATATGAAAGCAGCCTTCGACCGCACGAAGAGGAGGTACTTCTATATATGACGGCTTGAACATATTCACCAAAATAAGAAGCAGCGGCTACACTATAGTTCGTATGGGCAGCAACACTTCAGCCATGAAAGCTTTCGATGCTGTACCCGTCGGTGGAGAAGAGGTAAAATACGCTACATTGGAAAGATCTACTGGAGAAAGTACCTCTAATTGGCAACGAGCCCCATCAGTATTTGACGATCGCTGAACGAGAGCTGCTACTTAGATAACTTTTCATGAAGAGCCTCCAAAATACAGTAGAGGTTGCACAACTACCTCAGGAGGCTCAACTCCTTCTTATCCAGGCACAACCCCGACACACCCAAAATATGCCGACATACAATGCGTCTCCGCACGAAACGATATAAATAAAATTTTTGTTAAAATATGCTTAGTAAATATCACTTGAGAGGAAACATTTGGCCTTGATAAACCACGGATGACCGTAATCTATATCCACATTAAGGATTTAGCTAGTAGAAAGGTTTATTTATCCCCTCTGAAATTGTTATAAACAACAGACTCAAAATCAGCCGGAAGTGCCAGCTGGACTACATTAAAAATAAATAAATCTAAGGATCCCATAGCTATTGGGACGTAGTCCAATTTATTTTTTCCAATTAGAACCCGAATCCCCAGCAGGGAAGAATGGAATAATAATTGGCAGTATAAAAATATTTACGGACGAATCAACGATTGAGGCCAGAGTCGGAGTGTTTTCTCATGAAACTCTTCCATGGAACTCTCTTTCGGGCTACCTGACCACTCAGGCGGAGATATCTGCTATTATAGAGACAGTCAAACACATTGAAGCCAACTTTAAAGATAAGGTCATCTTTATTTTCAGTGACAGCCAGGCAGCAAAAAAGTGATGGAGTTCTGACAGATCACTGTCTGATAAGACGACGTGCAGAAAGGCTAGAGGCTCTTTATATGAGATGCTACAGAAAAGACGAAAAGGATGACGAGGGGGGGAAACGACTACTTTGCTCTGGGCAGTGCCGAATTTTGGTCTTTTGGGGTAATATATAGTGCTCGATGGTCTATGCAAGTCAGGCGTTGAACGTTGGGAGTGGATTGCCGAACATGATGGCGTATACATAATTGATTAATAAAAGCGCTTTCTTCAAAAAATTTCAATTTTAGTTTGCACTTGAAATCGGGCACGAACTTATGCACTCATCCAATATAAGTACAAGTGCTAAATACGCCATAATGTGCCATAAGAAAGTCCGGGCTCTTAAGAACGTCGGGAAATAGACACGTTCGTGTCATCGGCTACACTTTCACTTACAGTAGCAATATTTGAAGTTGACTGATACAGTTTCTTCAAATTTTACCCATTTCTTGAGGTTCTGGACGATTATGTGCAGCATGGTCTCCGCTTAAAACACTTAGCGTGACCACGTTTGAATCACCCTTTTTGTTGTAGGTCTTAACAGTTTTAACGCGTTGTGCGGTTGCTAAGCAATCCATTTTCATAACTTTTAAATAAAAACTTGACAGAAATTTGACAGACATCAAAATACCACTCGAAATGGGTAGCCTTATAGCCCATATTGGTTGTAGTAAAAAGTAATCCATTATTTTTGCATGAAATTGAAGGATTTAAACTTTACTTTTCCTATACAGCCTTATTTAAATGGTTTCAAACGGTATTTTTTTCTGCAACCCTTAGCTCTTGGACAACCGAAACAGTTCTTACATGACCGTCGGGTTGGACAATGTCCATGATTTTATCAACATTTCTACTCCGTGCTGCATCTTTTACATCAAAATTACCGGAATGAAACCGAAATTGTGCATGATTGTCTGTAATATTAAGTGTAGTGTCCACCTTGGACTCAATCACACACAAACAAAACTAAATCAATCCATCACAAAACTGTCAGAAAAACTTTTTTTGTACGAAATGTCATCTTTTCAACGCCATCTAGCGGGCCTGATCGGAATTATACAATGCGAGATGCGGATAAATAAATAATGGATTACTTTTTACTGCACCAATATTTTTTGCAGATTTCTAAAAATTCTATCTTTAACTCATACGATACTCTTAACTTACCGCCCACAGCAAGTTCAGCAAAAACAGCAAATATTTCATTGAACCCGTTGCGCAACTCATTTTTGTAATATTTTCCGGATTCCTTGCGCGCAAATAAAATGTTTAAGGCAATATTTTAAATTCCACACGTACACGTACGGCGCGCTGTTGTGCTCACATAAAAACAAAACACAATTCAATTCCTTCAAACCACCAAGCCACGACTACTCTTTTCGAATATCACAAATTAAATAAACACGCCACATACTCATTAAGAATCATTAAGTTCAACACTTTGAATAAAATATTGCCCGCAGAACACTGATTCGCAAGCAGGCTGTTAATATTAACGCGCTACCACCATTCCATCTGCTTTGGTCCGCACTGAGTACTGATTGAATAATAAAATTAATTTTTTGTATATAACAGTGTCTTCAATGTATGTATTGGCTCCGCAGTGTAAGAAAATAGCGGAAAAAAAAGAAACTTTCAAAAACAATCTTCAAAATTCACATCAAGCATATGCCCACATACATACGTACATACATGTACGAGTATGTACAGTGAGTTCACGAATAAAAAAAATGCGAAATTCCCAAAACGACACGCAAAAAACAAAAAAGGAAGCCGAAACGGCGGGATAACAAAAAGGCGCGCACGTACTCACACGAACTCACAAAACGTATTGTATTATATTATGAATAGTAAAGATTATAAACAAAATAAGCAATAATAAATATTACGATTTTTTCACGCTACAAATAAAAACAACTCAATCACGACGTCACTGCCGTGCGATTTGACTCGATAACTAACTCGGCTAAACAAGCGCTATGACGACAACAATACTGCCTGCTGCTGCTGCTGCTGCTGCTACCGCTCCAACACGACTCGACTCCGCTGTTACTCAAAGGCGAATGCGCTCAACAAGCGAGCAGCTATTGAGATATGGCCAAGCAACAAAAGCGTTTACCAAATAGCAAAACTATTCAAAGGCATTCGGCGAACTCACGGACTGACGGTTTGACGGACTGGCGAACTACCGATCCAACGGCCATGGTCACGAACAAACTAAATAGCGTCACGTTACTTTATTTGCATTCGCTTGAAAGCGGCAAGCAATAGAGCTAGAAAAAAAAATGTTGCGAGCATAAACAGCGAGCAGATCAGACGCCAACCACCAACCACCAGCAAGCTCATTACCAACAGCAGCAGCAGCAGCAATAGCAACGGCAGCAGCAACAGCAACAGCAACAGCAAAAATAAACATAATTAATAACAACAAATGGTAGACACATCAACTGTTGACACTGTTGTTTCCTACATACATATGTACATACATACACACGTGTATTTTTCGCTTTGCTCCACACGCTTTTTTGAGTTGTGTTTTTTTCCAGCTTTTTATTTACTTTGCTCTTCTGCGTTGTTTATTTTTCTAACGCTGTGTGAATGAGCATATGGAGGCGTTCTGGTCGCTTTGCGGCGGGCGGCAACACACATATGTAGTTAAATAGAGGTGTGTATGTATGTATATATGCAGTACATTTGAAAAGCTCAACATTTCGCCAGATGTTTATAGGCTCAGAAATCACTTTAACCGCGCAATAACTTACATAACATACAATACCGTACTGCTAGCGCTGGACCCCCTCAAAGGTACATACGCGTACGTACATACATCCATACATATGTACATATGCACAGTGTGTTCAGATAAGTGAGAAAGCATAGAAGAGAATTGAATTTAAATTATTTATTTATATATTATATATGTATATGTATTCCCCATTATAAATATTCGCCGTTCGGCCCAAATTCCTCCCAATAAAGGACTTTAAACAGATGGAACGATGTGCAACCGGGTAAATTTTTCTCGAGCAATCCTCAAATTAACATATTCCAACTGACGACGCCTTCCTCTTTATACGAAGGGATGAATAAAAGTTCGGTTGGTTGACTTGGAAAAAAAATATTTTTTTTATTTATTCGTAGCCTTGGCCCTTTTTATCTTCTCTACATAATCGCCTTTGATTTCAATGCATTTCTTAAGCCTATAGATCCCCTTCTGACAACAGTCTTCAAAATATTGCATTTTAAGCTTATCAAATTGAGCATTAACCGCATTGATTATCTCCTCGTTGCTATTAAAGAAATTGCCTTTCAAATTTTTAATTTAATTTTGGAAATAACCGGAGATCACAAAGTGCTATATCCGAGGAATATGGTGCTGGGCGTATTTCTTCGATCGCAGAGATCGCAATAAAATTACTCTTTATTTCAGCAGTGTGGAATGGCGCGCTGTCATGATGTAAAAGGTAGCGCCGCAAACCCTCCTTCTTCATGTTTTCGAACAAATTTTTCGGAAACTTTTGTTAAGTGCTCTTCAGTGTACCAACTAGCAGTTACCGTCCGACCCTTTTCTAGTGGAATAGCAGCTTCGATTTTAGATCGGGTGAAGTAAACTGACATCATTACTTTTTCTGCTGATTTTTGTTGCTCAGATTTTACGCGTGGGCTTGCTCCTGTTGGGCTCCTTACCATAGACTGCTGTTTGGTTTCTGGATCGTCCTTATAGAATGGCGATTAGTCACCAGTAATGACTTTACTAAAGTTTCAATACTCACATTTTCGAGTTTGTATAAGAAAAATTGGGCAAATCGCACTCGAGCCTCTTTTTTGGCCTCATTTAAAATTCGTGGTATCCATCGAGCAAATTTCTTCGTAAATCCCAGATGATATTCGTGATACTGCGATTACCTTCAAGCCCAATTTATTAGCAATTATTTCTTGTGTCAATCGCTGGTCTTCGTCAATTTTAGACTTCTCCAGAGCTACCACTATTTCAATTTGGTCGATCTTCTCGGCGCTCGTCTTCAATAGGAAAATATCAGGTCTGGAATCTGGTATTGACTGTAAATTACACCGAAACCCGAAGAGAATCACATGGCGAATTTCTGTTTGCGTTGGTGGTAGAATTTCGTCTGACCTATCGTGAGCTATCTTGTGTTTTCTCGTCTCCATTTTAGCCAATCGTTCTACAATTTGAAAGGAAGTATAATAAAATAATTGGAAAGGATTTGGTATTTTTAGATTTAACAAAAACAAATTGAATGTCACCAACTGGGCGAACTTTTGTTAATCCCCTCGTATCGCTGAAGCGATTTTCGGCCAAAATGCTCCACCAATTTGTGGTTTTGCGTTTTGATGTTCTTCCAAAAAATGAAGGGTCCTACAATTGTACTAAACCGACTCCGAACGGCTATTGGGTTTTTATGAGGATCTTTGAAATTTCATGTCACAAGTACACTCCTAGGGGTTGACATTTCCTGCAAGCCTTCCCCATTATTGCAAAAAAATTCCAAGAGCAACTCTAACCTCACTCAACATTTGAATACTGAAACTTGAAGAGTGAAGATTGGTGGCTAATATTGTATTGTAGTTTAGGATAGATAGTCTGAGTTAAAGAGTGAGGCAAGAAAAATTATGGAAAGCTTGACGCGGTAACTTATAAAAGCATTTAAAAATGGGGCGTTCTCATGGAGAACACAAGGAGAAGATTTAACGACTGATGCCCAAAGTATACTGATTTTATGTGGGAAACACTTCACTGCCATCCAGCAGGCAGAAGACAATGAAACTGCTGGAGATGATGAATTTAATTTCCCCATCGATGACGTTGAAATAGACGTTTCGTCGCGAAGAAGTTCGGATAGCAATTGTCCTCCTGAAAAACAACAAAGCGGCTGATGCCGAAGGATTGCCGATCGAACTATTCAAATATGGTGGCGATGGTACATTAATCACCTTCTTTGAAGAATATGATAGGACGAAAGCACGCCCGAGGACTTGCTCTACCAAACCCACAAAAATGGAGATCCAAATTCTGCACCATTTACCGTGGAATAACCCACCTCTATATCCTATCTAACGCATTGTGTAAAAGACGAAAAGCCCACCATTAAAAGGGTCTTATTAGTAGACTTTTAGATATTCACCACGCGTTAAATCTTTGGAAAAGACCCGTGAAAATAAAGTCAGCACACACCAGCCTTTCGTCGATTTTTAAGCAGCTTTATGAACACAAAAAAGAAGTCGTCCTGCTATATGCCGCAGAAGCCTAGACGATGATGACATCTGATTAATCGGCGCTTGGAGTTTTGAAGTTTTCGAAACAAAGGTTTTACGAAAAACTTATAATGTTCAGACGATAGAACGATGAAATGTACGACTTATACGACGATATCGACTATGCTCAGCGAATTAAGAGACAGGGGCTGCGCTGAATTGGTAATGTCGTCCATAGGGACTTGGCTTCACTTGGTGGTTCCAATTAGCGTCATAAGGCAAACAGAAGCCTCTAAAGGTGTGCTCTCGTTAACTCGGTTATAAACCTGTAAGCGGTGCCTACGCCAATAGACATGGAGGATCAACCGCATACAGAATTTTCTTTACCTTCCAAAGCTGTGCTCACGTAGTTTTGACCGGTCGCTGCAATAATTTCCTCAGCACTCTATCTCGTAAGAAGAGCGGTGGTCGAAGGCTTCTCACAGTGAAGATGCAAAAAACCATTTATAACGGATCTCTAGCATGTTCTCTGTGCATTTGGGTATTGGGTATGAAGTGCAAAGGTGTTGTTATACTAGTGGCTCAGGTGATGACCTAATGAATGTATAAATAAAAACAAATAGCGATCATTTCTTGCAGGTCAAAGATTTTATGGATTTTTGGAGTCATTCTTTCTAACTCCCGCGTAGATAACATTAGGTTGGACTCTTTTACTGTACTTGGGCAGTCTCCCATAGACGATCCCGCGACCATAGTGTTAGTAGCTATACTACACGTGACCAAAGTTCTGTACTGCTGCACTTTGTTTGAACATTACTAATCTCCTAAAGAATTGACGTAGGCATTTTGGTCCTTTATGCTTTGCTGATTGAACGTCCTGTTGCATTTCTTGTCAAGTGAGATCATCCCCTGTCTGCTCGGCACTTACAGTAAACTGCGTACTTTACTGCTCCAGTCATTCCTTGTGCTCATGCAATCTGGAAATCTCTGGCCTCTTTGCCAATAGCTGAAATTTAATAAGCTTCACCTTTCTAGGCCTGATAAATGATATGAACTCCATTGGACTTCAGGGTGTCGATCATGTAAACTTGTTATAAGTCTCTATCAAAGATCAAAGTCCACTTTATTTCAAGCTCATTCTTCGAGTTTATAGCGTTGTTAATTATGAAGCTGAGTGGCCGGCGTTCGAGTCCTGCTTCAACCAAGATCTATAAATTAATTTTCCCAATTGTGGTCGCCCCTCGGCAGGGAATGTCAAGCCCCCCCCCCCCCCAAGGGATTTCTGACATGAAATACAAGCTCCTAATAAAATTCACCGGCCGTTCGGAGGCGGCCTAGAACCGTCTGCCCCTCCAATTGTTTGAAAACATCAATACATCACACCACTCAACAAATGGGGAGAGGAGCTTAGCTGAAACTCGCTTCAGCGTAGAACTTCATATAAAAACTACTCTCACAGTCATTTAAAACCACTGTGCGCGGTAATAGTTGCTAGTTGGCTTCTAGGGGTCTTGCAAGCGCATTTTATAGAAAAAAGATTGCTCAGCTTACACACAGCACATAGCAAATATGGTTCGCACATGAACATTGGAAAAGGTGTATGTGTATACATATGTTCGTTCAATAGAGATATACATATATCACATATGAAGGTACATATATATATATATATATATATATGTTCTCATGGATATATAGAGTCAAAGTCAAATTCAAGTCAACGCATAGTAGACCGCAACAAATGTAAGTTAATATGTACGAGTATGTGCGCTCGCACTATAAATAATAGAGATACAAACAACAATAACAACAAAGAAACAGAAATAGACAAACAATAAACCAGATTTCTAAGTCTCTTGAAACACCGGGCCATATGGAGCACTCTAAAGCGCAGTCATTACAACTTGGGTCATACCAATTGTCGTAATATACATAACATACGTATGTATGTGTGTTCTTCTATTTGCGGTGCGAGCCGCGTACGCCAACACCGTTACGTTTGCTTAATATCGCTCACTTTACGCACATGGCTTTGCTCTCCAACTTCGCTTCAATGAATGGCCGGAAAGTCATTCTTGCACTCACCTTCCATGAATGCGTACACAGCGAGCCGACGAGTCGATGCGTGTGCGTATTAATGTATGGGATTTTCAATTATTCATTCAGTTCTTTTAGAAAAGTTTCATAAAGCTACTCATGTAAGGATGTGTGATGAGTGGACGTTTAACTGACCGGTGAACTTGTTGATTGTCTGCGGAACTCACAGTAAATATTTGTTACGCTTCGACTGTGACTGAAAAACAGTTTAATGATCAAAAATGAAAACTGTAAATTTTAATTACCGATTCTAACTGGAATTACAGTGGGAAAAAGTCATACGAAAATACTTAAATCGGTAGCGAGCAGCAGTCGAGCATTCACTCAAAGACTCGCATCTCCTACTCATCGATAGAGTTTAGCTTTTCCTCGTCGGGAGTGTACGCATGTACACAATGCTCCCAAAAAGCAATAACCTCAACTGTTGACAGCAAGTGACATGGACTTCAAAACACAGAACATTTCTTCCACCTCTACCAAATCCGTCCCGTTCAGTGGCCAAATGTTGAAGCCAAGTAGCTGCAGGTTATCACCTCCCGAATCATCTATCCAGCTCAAACTTTTCTTTCGCACATTATGTTAAAGAAGAATCACAATAAAAAGCCACTAAAATTCCGTACGGGAACGAATGACTCAAGTTTTTTCTAAAAAGCTTTTCGTGTTTTTAATCAATGTTGGAGCCTGGGAGTGGAGAAATTTTTTGACTACCATCGCTACGTAGGAGTTTCCGGAAATAGGGGGTATGGGGCACACCGCATAAAAAATTCACCATTGTAAAAAATTGAAAGATTAAGCTTAAAATTAGACCATGCATCTAGAATGTCCAATGTCTTGACTGCGAAGTTGCCACTTCCCAACTAGATGGCTTCACCCCAATCAAAGGCCAAGAACGAATATAGGAGAATTCAAATTTGTTATTGAGTGTATGACATTTATCCGTTGAATCAACGTCTGGTCGCAATCCTCTTCAAAGCAAAGCTCTTTCACATATCGCTGATTTGCACCCACGTCTTAACGGTAGAGAAGGTCGATGTGTTTTTAACGCCAGGGTAGGAAAAGAAGGTGCCTTCGGTACAAGAGAAAATTCAGCCTCCAAGTTTTGTTCGGTGCGCTAATGGGGAGTAACAATTGTTATCAACTTTTATTAAAACTCGTTCGGTGGGCGAAAAAACAAAAATTCGCAACGGAAGAGCATTATCTTGACATTTCGCTCCTGCCTAATTCCTATTGACCCTTCTGACCAAACAGAACTATTGCCAAACAGACAGACGATGAGTAAATTCAAGAGCTTGAGGGAAATAGTCATATATTCAATTAGAAAGTCCACAAAGTTCCAATTTCCATTGCACACTTGAAGAACAACAGAGTAAAGAATTACCTCGGTCACCAAAAGTCAATATAAAAACTCCCATTTCTTTCATAAAGTGGTGCTTCACAGGCTATATATATTAACACCATAGTCAAAAGGATCTTTCCGGAACATTCGAGGCGCTTTTATGAACCATGAATGAACTAAATTCTGGTTTCCGCCTGATACTTGACCATTTCTTTATCATACCCCTTAAACCTATTCATACCACACCTCTAAAAACAGCAAAACTCTTGGGCCTTCGTCATATCCTCCAATTACTTAACACTTGGCTCGAATGTTCAAATGTCTGAGAAACCAATCCAACGATTTTCCACTTTGCCAAATAAAAAGCGTAAATCGCAAATTGCTCCAATTCTGAACTATAATTTAAAAAAGAAGAAGAGTAGACATATTTGACATTTAATTTACCAGTAAGCTCGTCATCCTTGTAGTGAGTTTTTTGTGTGAAATCAACATTGCAAACTATTTAATTTAATTTATTGTTCCCTCAAATAATTACTGTTTAATATATAACAAAATGGCTGATGATTTCGAACCAATGGAGCCAAGCTTGCGTAATATCGTAGAACAATCTTCATTGAAATGGATTTTCGTAGGCGGTAAGGGAGGTGTTGGTAAAACGACATGCAGGTAAAGAAGCAACTAAAAATATTTTTATGATAAAAGGCATAAATATCATTTTGTTTTAATTCAACATGTAATAAATAGTTGCAGTCTCGCAGTACAAATGTCCAAAGTACGTGAATCGGTGCTGATTATATCCACAGATCCAGCGCATAACATTTCTGACGCATTTGACCAGAAGTTCACGAAAGTTCCGACAAAGGTAAATGAGCAAAAAAACTTTCAAAGAAATTTTTAATAGTTTTTGGAAACCTGTTTCCAGGTTAATGGATTCACAAATTTATATGCAATGGAGATCGATCCAAATGCAGGTCTTAATGAATTGCCCGATGAATATTTTGAGGGTGAAAATGAAGGATTACACTTAAGCAAAGGAGTGCTACATGAAGTAATCAATGCGCTCCCTGGCATAGATGAAGCAATGAGTTACGCTGAAGTGATGAAGTGAGTAAAAAAAACATAGCCTTACAATAAATATACAATATATCTAATATTTTATTACTTTTAACTTTAAATTATAGACTTGTCAAAGCAATGAACTTTTCTGTGGTCATTTTCGATACAGCGCCAACAGGGCACACATTACGTTTGCTATCTTTTCCACAGGTCGTTGAGAAGGGATTGGGTAAATTATTGCGTTTAAAAATGAAAATTGCTCCATTCATCTCGCAATTCGGAAGCATATTAGGAATGGCTGACTTTAATGCTGACTCCCTTACGCAAAAACTAGACGAAATGCTAAAGATTATAAGACAAGTCAATGAACAATTTAGAAATCCAGTAAGTACTTTATCGCTTTATCGCTCCATAACCGCTGTAAATATAATCCACGTCTTTTTTTGCAGGACCAAGCAACATTTGTTTGCGTTTGCATTGCTGAGTTCCTTTCATTGTACGAAACGGAACGACTTGTTCAAGAATTAACTAAATGCGGCATAGACACACACAATATCATTGTTAATCAACTATTGTTCAAGAAGCAAAATCAAGAGCCGTGTAATATGTGTGCGGCGAGATATAAGGTGCGTTAAGATCGTATCGCGGAATTATTTAATTACCTGCATATCCTAATAATTTTGTTATTTCAGATACAAGAAAAATATCTAGATCAAATTGCCGATCTCTATGAAGATTTCCACGTAACGAAATTGCCGTTGCTCGAAAAAGAAGTTCGTGGTGTCGATAATATTAAGAGTTTCGCGGAAAACTTAGTTAAACCTTATAGTCCTAATTAATTTTAAGGCATACAAAAATTCTATAATCTGCGCAGGTAGCGTTATTAGAAAATCCAAAACAAGTTTTTATCTCATAATTTAACATGATATAAAAAGTGCACGGATCACAACTGTATTCCAATTCATTATATTTGATAATAAAGTAAAAAATAAAAAGAAATCAAGAATCATTTCGAAACTGAAAGTTATGTTGAAAATAAAACAAATTCGATCTAAAAAAAAGAATAATTACTTTGTAGACCGGTTACTTGCGAAGACCGAATCATTTTACAACACTGGTGAGAATAAAAATAAAAATGACGGCTGACTGCAGCAGTTCTCTCTTTTATATAACAAGTAAATGACATTTGTGTAAATTCACCGGCAGTGGATGAGCTTACGAAATTATCGTCTTTACAACCAAGATTATTTTATTAAATCTCATCGGAGATAAAAGTCAACTTAAAATAAATTTGCACGGATCAAAAATATTAACTGCACAAGACAATGGCTAGCGAAGGAGCAAGTAACAAGAATACAGTTTGCACATTGTGTGACAAGGTGGGACTTAAACCATTCACCAAGGAAAACGTATTTTACTATTACATCCCACTTCATGGCGTTGTTTCATATTCAGCACTCGCCGTAAACGTTATGAATCCTGGTTTCATTTCTAAGGTACTACCCAAAAAGGATTTGACCAATGTGCTTTTGCTGAGTACACTTACTGGTACTGCCTTCTACATTTACGGACGGCCACATCTACGTAGCGTGCCAAATTCACGTCGTGGTTTGTATGCTTTATTGGGTGGCACACTCTTTAGCATGGGCTCGGTTCTTGCTTGGGCACTGATTCGTTCCGTTTTGCCAAGAGACAACGCAGCAGTAGCAACCATTGCCGGTTTGGCTTCGGGAGCAGCTTTGGTTAAACTAAGCACTGACTACTTTACAGAATGCGACAAATTGGTTGCAAAAAATTAAGCTAACAAGAAAGTCGTGATCGTGATGTTCGTGTTGCTCTTCAAGGGACAAATCTAATTTTAGTCGATTTCATCTTTTTTATTTTAAGCAGCAATTAAAAGTTCAATATACAGATCGGAATTTGATTGTCGCATTGGATTATGGAAATTGCTGTGCTGCGCCCATTTACAAACAACTTGTTTTTTATACGCTGTGGTGGCCAGTCTTGGTAAATGATTTTTAGATGTTAAATATAGTTTTACTTTGAATCGAGTGAACTTAAAGTTTAAAGTTAAAATTGCTGCGAAAAAACTGCTAGAAATGTATATGTATGAAAATTTATAATCTTGAAACATTATATACGAAAATAAAAGCTAAAACTTATTTCTAAAACAAAGAAATATTGTGTTTAATTTATTTAGCAATTTTTAGGCGAAATTTTAAATGAATTTTTATTAAAAATTTCAGCTAATATATTTTATTATCCCTGTACATTTGAAATTTTTTTTTAAATAATTTTTAGGTTTAATCTCAAACCAACTATATTCTATAATTTCTTTTATAAAGACAGCTGTTTATAAAAAATTTATTTGTAAGCATTTTAAAAATGAGTAACAAAAATGTATTCTAAAACCGGTTCTATGCATTAGTAAACAAACATCACCAGATTTACTTTATCATATACTCCATTCACAATAATAAATGACAAACAAACTATAGATACATTGAACATACTCATTTGCTGTCTTCTCAGACAACGAATTTTCATCTTGAGACGGAAAGGTTTGTGTGCAGTATTTTTCTTTTAACGAGTTTATGTAATTAATTTTATTTTGTGCAAAAAGAGCAGCACATTTTGCTAAGAAAAATTCTTTTGAACATGTTTGAGTTATAATATAGTAGTGATACAAAAATAAGACTGTCTTGAGCGATGAACATGTGACTACGTGCTTTTAACACCGTCCTGCAAAAATTAAACTGTGCGGAAAAAAACTTGTCTTGTTGATTATGGTGGTTGCGTTTTCTGTATGTGGTCTTGTGTATGTAGTGCCAGCAGAACCAAGCATAATAAACATCTAGACTGCGTAAAAAGCCTCCTGCGAAGAAATATATATTTCCTGTGACAAATTAAAGTGACGCCAAAGTTTATTACTTCTTTGTTTTCCGCAATTAGGCCCCCAGGCCTCCTACAGGGTGCTGGCTATTTTACACTTCAGTTAGAGCTTAGAGAAGACGGGTATTGTATTTATTGATTTTATCAAATAAGCTTAACATTTTTATTTTACCTGAATATAGTAAGTGCTTTTGAACTATAAATTGAATAGCTTATCCGGGTCGAGATACACATATAAATATTACTTTAGATGACACCGATTTCTCTACTTTCTTAGTTTCTTGGGGTTAGTGAACCGAAAACCTATAAAAGTTTAACAAGACTAGGCAAAAAAAAAAAACAAAAAGCAATTACAAAATACAGTGTAAAACAAGTACCACTAGCACAAATAAATGTGTAAAGTACCTTAACAAAACCATGTCAGGTAGCTGTTTTTTTGTTTCATTTATGTACGCATTGTTACTGAATTCATTTATCATTTTGATAACAAAACTATGTGATAAAAAAACTTCGTTTATGTTAATTGTTTTGACATGATTTGCATCTTTCTATGTACTGGATCTCGTCATTATATCAAATATTTTGAAAAAAATCAATCCAGTTCTTATACATTAAATTCAAAATCTATTTTTGAATGCTTTTTCCTTATTTTCAGTGAGCAGAGCTCAATATTTGCACAAATGAGCTGTCTGCAAGTGGTGTACATTATTTAGCAATTTATCTGACATAGGCTGCAATAGAAAATCTCAGATATACTAACCTAACCCTTTTCCTGCCACTTCATATAAATCAGTAAAATCATAAAAAAAATGGTACAGTACAGCGTTGCTCAGCGAAAAAACGTTCGCATTTTGTTAGTTGGTGACGCGGGCGTTGGAAAGACATCACTAATACTGTCGCTTGTAAGCGAGGAATTTCCTGAGGATGTACCACCAAAGGCAGAAGAAATAACAATACCCGCTAATGTAACACCTGAACAGGTACCGACAAATATTGTCGATTATTCAAGTAAGTAAAAACTGATCATAAAATTTGAATATATTATATATATGTCTTTACTTTGTTTAGGCACTGAACAAAGTGATGAAACACTGAATGAAGAGATACTAAAAGCTCATGTTGTATGCATTGTGTATAGTGTGGAAGATGACGTTTCTCTTGACCGCATAACATCACATTGGCTACCTTTGGTACGAAATGCAATCGGCACTGAACAGACACGTAAACCTATTGTGCTGGTGGGCAACAAAGTCGATTTGATAGAATACTCAACCATTGATGTGAGTGGTGTTTATCAAAAAGCAAATACAAACAGTACATTTGATATGCCATTACAGAGTGTATTGACAATAATGGAAGACTTTCCAGAAGTGGAGAGCTGTGTAGAATGTTCTGCAAAAACGCTGCACAATATTTCTGAAATGTTTTATTATGCACAAAAGGCTGTATTGCATCCCACATCGCCACTGTATATAATGGAAGAGCAAGATGTGAGTAAAGTTACAATAATATATTTTAAGTGAAGAGCTGAAAGTAAATTAGATTAATATAGGTATATGTATATTGTTACGTCATTTTTATATTTTTCCACATTTATTGTAGCTTACGCCAGCTTGTAAAAAATCACTTGTACGCATTTTCAAAATTTGCGATATCGATGGAGATAATCTATTAAATGACTATGAGCTAAACCTATTTCAACGTCGCTGTTTCAACACACCCCTTCAACCACAAATACTAGACGAAGTTAAAATTGTCATACAAAAGAATATACCCGATGGAATATATCACGATGCAGTCACACTTAAGGGATTTCTTTTCCTGCATTGTCTTTTCATACAGCGCGGTCGAAATGAAACCACTTGGGCAGTACTACGTCGCTTTGGTTACAATGAACAGTTGGAAATGTGTAAGGATTATTTACGACCAACATTGAAAATACCACCAGGCAGTAGCACAGAATTATCACATCGGGGCCAGCAATTCCTTATAGCACTCTTCGAACGATATGATAAGGATGGTGATGGCGCACTTTCACCAGAGGAACATAAAATGCTCTTCAGTACATGCCCATCGGCGCCATGGTCATACTCAACAGATATACGCAAATCATGTCCCACCAACGATCAAGGTTGGGTGACGCTCCATGGTTGGTTATGTCGCTGGACGTTAATGACACTTATCGATGTTATGAAAACACTAGAGTACTTAGCTTATTTGGGTTTCAATGTACACGAAAACGACAGTCAACTGGCAGCGATACATGTGACGCGTGAACGACGCATCGATTTGGCCAAACGACAAAGTAGTCGTTCCGTCTATATGTGCCATGTAATTGGTCCAAAAGGTGCTGGTAAAACCGGTATGTGTCGTGGATTTCTGGTAGATGACATGAAAAGTCTGATTGGCAAAGAGTTCCGGACAAATGTGGTACATTGTGTCAACACAGTGCAGGTAATGATGTTTACAACATAATTTTAAAAAAAAATTTCAAATTTATACATTTATGTTATAGGTCTATGGGCAAGAAAAACATCTGCTTTTACGCGACATTGATGTTAAGCATGCTTTAGATCCGCTACAACCACAAGAGGTGAATTGTGATGTCGCCTGTCTGGTTTACGATTCCTCAAATCCGCGTTCATTCGAGTATATTGCACGTATTTACATTAAATACTATGCTGAGAGTAAAATACCTGTGATGATTGTTGGTACCAAAGGTGATTTAGAGGAGCGGCGTCAAGATTACTTATTGCAGCCGGCAGAGTTTTGTAAAAAATACAAAATATTAGAACCACATCTGTTTAGCTTGAAGAGTAATAAAAAAGAGGTTTATACTAAATTAGCAACCATGGCGGCATTCCCGTGAGTAGTACATAAATATATATACATATATAATTATCGTATTAGTATTATTCCCCTATTTATATATATGCATTAAAATAAGTTTATAACATAAAACACAATCTAACGAATTGGCTGCGGAACATTTTTTATCGCTACATATTGGTATTTGTCATGCAAATGTGTTAGGTTTGTTGCTGAGTGAAAAAATGCATTGCAATTTGCAGGGTGATTATGTTTTACCGTTATTGTAGTTGGTCAGAGTTTAATGTTCACAATTAATTGTAATTGTCTGATACTACCATTGGCTTACATTACTATTAAGTATGTTTGTATGTGGAGTTTATTAGTTAACAGTTTGTAGTTGTAGCGTAATATTTGTATAACACACACTTTCTGTGGTAGAAAGTAGTATTATAGGCAAATATAAATTTATTTCTATTTATTAGGCTATTGCTTCCTAGTTGTACTCATATCACAGATATTTAACAAGTTTTGATCATTTCAGAGTAATTTTCGAAGTTATTTTTTTTATGCCTAAAAATACAAATTTTCCTCGTTAGTCTTACTTCGTACTGTAATGTCCTTGAATATTGTTTTACTTCTATTTGCCGTACTTTGAAAATAAGCCGCTAAACAGCACCACGACATCCGTTGATTCATTTTAAATAATGAGCACATTACCATTTTGCAAAAAAATAATTTGATTTTAATTTATTTTCGCTCTAAATTTTTTGTTATTTTTTTTTTCGGAAACTGAAATTTCCTAATACACAAATTTAGATACATATATGTAATTTAAATATAAATAAAAAAATTCCTTATATAAATTTAATTTAATTTAATTAATTTTCCTTTATCTTCTAAATGCCGCCACAACTAATAAATATTTTATATAACAAAAACAAAATTAAAACTCCTCGATTATCTCGCGTACGCTCTATATGTCCACACCTTCATCACCATGCCCTGACACGGGTTGGCTGCGCTTTGGCTGGTGATTGTTGCACAAAAACAAATAAACGATAAACAAACAAAAATATAAAATAAATTTAACTTTTTTGTTGCTACCAAATTTTAAATGAAACAACAACAACAACTTGTAGGCGCTTTCAACCCGCATGGATACTCTTTTACAAGCACAGGTTGGTACAGCTGTGGGAATCAGCGTAAGTGTGAATCTTCTTAATGCCATTTAAAACAGCCGAACAAGCAACTAATATCGTACTATCCATACAATTTGTTTTTCTCTTCTTTCGAGCAAATAAATATATGCATATTTGTTGTTTTTTTTTGTAAAAAGAACGCAATTATACACCATAGTAAATAATAATGCATAGCAGTACAGCAAACAAGCAAAATATTCTAGATATTTTTACCGTATACTCGTAATTACTAGTAGTCATTATTAAATTCAAATATTAATTTTTCATAATGTAAAACTTCAACTTTTCTGTTTCTTTATACTTTTTATGGAATTTGGTGTCCTTTATATTTTGTTGTTTTAAAGTTGTATTTTTTCAACATTTTTTTCGTAAATGTTTTATATACATGCCCGTATATTTATAGAGCGGTATATAAGTTTGTATGTACGTATGTATATGTTTGTGTATTGCATATAAAATAATAATCGATAATTCTTTTTCGATCTCACTGTAATTCTAATTTTTTTTTTTTTTGAAGATTATTTGGTGTTTGTGCATTCCATTCATCCATCCAAAGACGCACCTTTTATTACATACACATACACACTAATGCACTAACGTAGTGGAATGGATGTAGTAAACCAATACATTCAGTTGAAAAATATTTTAGAATTACACTTTTTCCCTTTCTATTTGTACTATTGTGTTTACAAATTTTCATATATTGATTGCTACTTAAAAATGATTAAGTAGTTATTAGTGTCACCAGTCTTGAGTTACTTTAATCTGTTAAGTATAATACTTAATTTGTGAGAGCAGCATTTTTGGTTGCGTCTGTCAAAGACCACTTTTGTCAGCCGTACAGAATGCAATGGCAGATGTCACCCTTAGATCTGCTCAGACCTTCAAAAAAGTGCGTGACGTAGGCAGCATTACACACTTCGAGTAATCATTCACAGATCTTTTCGATATCGCCACCCTTATTCAGCTCCACCTTTTTTGTGGGGTTTGCTCAGTGGTTGTAGTACTCCACACTGTCTATTATGAACGGCCTTGTGAGACAAACTCGACTTCCGTCACTTTCTGCTTTAACTGATACAACAACAAAAAGTTAATCCTAATATTATTTTTTTAAATTTTTAAAACTACAGAAGACACTAAACGTCATTTAGAAGTAAGCTGAATATCAATTTCTAGCATACTAAAAGGCGAGTTGGAAGTCTGAGCAGAAACTTTTGCCAATGCGAGAGATCCGCCTTTTTCTGGCACAATTTTTGAAATAGATCATTCGGAGAGGCTCAAATTTCCTTGCTCCTAAAGGTCACTAAGCAACCGTTACTTCAAGCACAAAGTGAAATTGTTGGACACGATTCAGATCTCAGCGCTAACAGCGAAATTCTCTCTTCTTCTTTACTAGCGTAGAAAGCGCTTACGCGATTATAAGCGAGTTAACAGCGATTGTAAATACCAAGTACATCTAGACACATTCCCTACCTTGTAGTTAGAAAGCAGTGGAGGTCTTACCCTTGCTCCGCTTCCAACCTTCCACCCGCGTGGACTGCTGGAGTATTATTAGTCTGCGCAGCCCGTGTTTCTTTTTTTTTTTTGATTCTCTGACGCTGTATCCCTCTTACACAGCTTATCGTTCCCTCGGTTGCGATATTCGCCGTTCGCAATATTTGTAGAGGACCATAAATCTTACGCAAAACCTTTGTCTCGAAAACTTCTTACGCCGGCTCATTAGATATTGTTATCGTTCATACCTCTGTACCAAAGAGCAGTCTGCTACAACAACAATAACAATAAAAACAACAACCGGAACGATGAGCGACTTGTAGAGTTTGGTTTTTACTTTTCAATTGCCTACTCAGTCCAAAGTGGCAGTGCTGTTTGCAAGAGTGATTCTGCGCTAGATCTTCAGGCTGATGTTGTTGTTATCCAAATAAATGAATCCATTCTCCATACTTCCGAGACACAATCCTTATTCTCCACACTACTACTTATATTTTATATATTAATATACAAAGTTTTTAGTCCATAACAGAGTACGTAATGTGTATAAAATAAATAGAAATAATAAAATTTATTTATTTACTTATTTTCTGCTTAGTTGTAGTGTTTTTTTTTACAGACTTAATTGCATGTTTATCCATATTTTGTTTTTTCTTCAATAAAACTAATCACAATTTTTTATTTCCATTCTACGCGCGCGCCACTCTGCCACCTAACATTCCAAAAACGAAGCAGTCATCTACGTCAATTTGGTTTAATGACAGAGGATCCGACACTATGGTGGAAAGCCGGTCTAGGTGTTGCCGCAGCCACAGTGCTGGGCATTGTTGTGATGAAAGCACTGCACAGTGCCGCTACGCATGCGCGTTACTAAACGTACGTCGTATATACAAAAAAAAAAAAGAAACGAAAAAAACAACAACAGTAATCTATAATGCAGCTTCACACTGAATTTGAAGAAATTAGAATTAGAAATTAATATACCGCAAACACACACACCTCCGTGTGTTGGGTACGAATTTGCGTCAGTTGCAGTGTGAGATTTTTGTAACATTCTACATTTGATAAGATAACTTCATAGCACTCCTCGCACACCACCATACTCCATCCAATTGTAGAAAATTTATGAAGCAATGACTTAACAATATATATATATATATATATACATCTATAGTCTTATTTATTTCTCCACACGTTTTTTTGGAAATATTAAGAGAAAAATTCATGTTTTGGGACAACAAACAAACAAAAAATTGTAATTTCTTTGCATATAAAGCAGCAAATCGTTATTTAAATTTTATTAATTAATATTGAAATGAAAATTTTAAGTATCTAACAAAAAAAAATATATGTAGAGTACATACATACATAGGTATGTACATATATACTACAATGTATATGCGCAAATCACATGTTTATGTTTGTAAATAAATTGAAAAACTAACTTTGAAAAAATCGTTTATTTTTGCGCTTTTATAGCGGCAAACTCCACAACGCATTAACCTTTAACAAAGTCTTTTAAATTATCCATACACACACACATATATATATATTACAATATTATAACATTATATGTACTAATTATATTATAAAAAATAGTAATAAAGACATTATTTTAAAATTGAAATTATTATTGACAATGAAAAGCACTTGAAAATCAATCGGATGGCAATACCACTTAGCAAATAATCTTATATGCATATATGTCACATAGAGATAATTCACATACATATAATAATCATATAACATTATTTTTATAAATCATAAAATAAGTGAAATACATACATACATCTATAATGCATATTTGAATAAGTGTATCAGTTGATGAGTTGAGTTGAGTGTGAGTTAGTCGGGCACAGTTTGGGCATTATTTGTTTTTTTTTTTTTGTTGTATATACATAAGACTATATAATTTGTTTATGTTAGTTTTAATTAAAATCTTTAAAAAAAATTTATAAAGAGAAGCTAAAAAAAAGTTGTATACATTAGGGTGGTACAAAAATTGTTCTTGTTTTCGTCGTGTAAACTTTACAAATAATTTTTCCTTTTCGTGTCACAGTGTTAGATACGATTCTTCTCCAAAACGGCTATAGCGATTTTAATGAAATTTTTTGTGTATGTTCAGTAAGTCTGAGAATAGCATAACACCCCTAATTTTTTTTATTATTTTTGGACATTTTTTTAACTTTTTTTTAAATACCGGCTTTTTTAATTTCTTTTTTTTTTATTTTTTATTTATTTCTTTCTAATTACTTGTTTTTTAATTTCTTTATTTTTTAGTTTCTTTATTTTTAAATTCTTTATTTTTTATTTGTTTTTAATTTTTTTATTTTCCAATTTCTTTTTTTAATTCCTTCTTTAATTACTTTTCTTAGTTTATTTATTTTAATTTCTTTATTTTTTAATTTCTTTTTTTATAATTTATTTTTTTTACTTCACTTTTATTAATTTATATATTTTTTAATTTCTTTTTTTATAATATATTTTTTTTTACTTTACTTTTATTAATTTATTTTTTTTTTAATTTCTTTTTTTATAATTTCTTTTATTTTTAATTTTTTTCCATTTTCGAATTTCTTTGTTTGATTCCTTTTTTTAATTTCTTTTTTCAGTTATTTTCTTATTTTTTAATTTTTTTTATTTTTTTTTTTATTACCTTATTTTAATTTTTTTTTTGAATTTCTTTTTTTAATTTCTTTTTTTTTTATTTTTTTTTTAAATTTTTTTTTTTTTAAAATTTTTTTTTTTAATTTCTTTTTTTATAATTTCTTTTTTATAATTCTTTTTTTTACTTTCCTTTTTTTATTTTCTTTTTTTTTTAATATTCTATATTTTTTAATTTTTTTATTTTCAAATTTCTTTGTTCGATTCCTTTTATTAATTTCTTTTCTTATTTATTTAATTTTTTTTTAATTTTTTAATTTCTTTATTTTCTTAATTTTTTTTTTTAATTTCTATTGTTTTTTTTTTAAATTTCATTATTTTTTAAATTTCCTGATTTTTGTAATTTCTTCGACATTACAAAATAATATAACTAAATTTTTACCCTTCTTTCCCCCAGTTTTTGGTCAAAAATTGTTTATGCCAAGCATAGATCGTGTGTAAAGCATGTGGCCTGCACAGTCTTATTATTTTGCAGCCACGGCTTACAAGCTATTCTTATACGTTCAAGCATAGATCCGAATGTCATTTACGTGACGGGCTTTGAGTTGCGAGGAATATAATAAAAGAAACTTATTATTTGGTATTATATGATGCTTGATTTTGGGTTTCTTGTCACTATTTGCAATTTCAATGAGAATATAAATTCTACAAAATACAGAAAGCCCCAACAGAGTGTGGGCGGGTCTGAGGGTGATAGATAATAAAGAAAAAGTCTTCTGTATGATTTTACCATAACAACATAATCATGAAATCAACTTTCATAATTTGTTTTCGAAGCCAACATATGTACATATGTGTGTGAATAACAAATAATCTTAAAATTGCACAAAAACGACTTTGGAGAAAGTTTTTGTGGCTACAACACCAACGGCAATAGTAAAATCTGAACTTAAATATTTTGTGAAAATTTTCATTTCTACTGTGCTTATATTATTACTAAGAGTTGATCTTAAATAAATAGTTTTTTAATTTCAATACCTATTGAATATTACTACGGTAAAATGAAGAGTTCTAAACAAAAAGCTTAAAAAAAGTAAATAATTTAATAAGAAAATAAAATTGTGAAAATATTGAGTTTTGTTTCGAAATAAAATTACTAATATTTTCACGCCCATTGACTTACCGTGTGGATTTTTGTTTTTATCTGTCAACAAAATTTCATTGCTAATTTGAAAAATGAAGTTATTATTTTTTTTTTGGAAAATAAATCAACAAGTGGATTTTCAAACTTGAACAATCGACCACCCACACTCTATATATATAAATATAATAATGTATATATGTATACCATTATAATATACTTATATTTTAAATGAACTTTATAATTAACAAATTGAAATATTAATCAGTTTATGAGTTCTATAAATTCATTCTTCCAAATAAAAATAAATTTAATTGAGAATAAAATCTGAAAAGTAGTTTTAACTTCAGTCTTTATGTAAATGAATGGATGATTTTTTGGTGGTTAGTAGATAATTATTGTGAGACAAATCATGCATTCACCTTCCCTCTCCTCCCCCTTAAGATGAGATAGCGTCAAGCGGGTAGTACTACTGGAGATTTTATCGATAACTGATGGTGCAAAGCACTGAATTAGGCGATGGAAAAGAGAGAGATCTTGGTCGATACCCAAGACGGTGACGTATGAGTGCCGTTGCGCTGGCATATCTTACACAATTCATTGTTGTCTACTTGGGTAGCATATTTAAAATTATATCAGTTGTTGTTGTAGCGGTACACTAACCCGGCTCAAAAGCAGGCAAGATCAGTCTAAGTCATTTAGGGGACATCTAACGGGAGGTTCAGGAAACGAATTGTTTCAATGGGTTCCGCCTAGAGTATAATGAGGGTTAGATGAGTTGGTTTCAAGGGTTATGCAGGCAGCACATAAATTGGGTATGTCGGGATGAAGTCCAGATATGAAGGAATTCTGTCGACTACAGTATCCAGATCATATTTGTGTCAGTATCATTCGGGACCCTCGAGGCAGCTCGAGCTATTCGTCTGTAATGTGCGGTGGTTTGACTACTAGAACGCCATTTACTGGATGAGAGTTCAGGAAGGTGTTGACGGACTCCCGGTTTAATATCTGTCGGTAAGCTGTCCTTTTCACAACGAGTTCGAGTCGGTACTCTTTGTCCAGCTGGTGAAAAGGGTAGTCAAGTATTTTAGCAGTTTGTAGCCGTAATTCTCTGGCAGTGAAGAAGTGGGAAAGGTCATCAATATCCTGAACAGACGCTGTATCGATCAATCATTGGCATATGAGGTGAGTGATGATGCCACTTTTGGTGGAGGAGGGAGCTTACAGATATAGAAGCTAAACAACAGTGGGAAAAGCACTTTGAAAGTTTTACCTCGAAACTCTCCCGATGACTGCCGATAACTGAGGTAGACCACGTTGCAACTCTTAAAACGCCGGCGACAATGAGAACTCCTCAATGCACTGCTGAATGGTTCACAATTTCAAAAGCTTTCAGGACAATTCGCGCACAGGCACGTTTTTTTCTGAGGTCATTGAAAATTTTGAAGCAATGCTGATGTGCTGTTGGATTCAGATGGTGTATAAAAGACTTGAGCAGTAAGGCCTCATGAGTATTCGCTACCGGTGAGAGGAGAGATATCTGTCAATAGGATTCTCCCTTGTTGGCTGATTTCCCTAGTCAACTCAAACGACATTAAGTGCTTATCTGTGCGCTAAACCACTTCAGGCAAAAGCAGGTATGTCTTAGATATAATCCGTCCGTACTCGGATAGGCTTAGCATGCTTATACTCACTCTTTTATAATAAATAGGATTCTATTGTAAAAAATTAGAGCGCGAAAACCAATTATTTATTAATTTGGTTTGCTTTTCATAATCATAATAATTTTTTGTCGGCACGGCATGGCGTATACGTAACTCACTTGTATTTAATATGTTACTTAAAGCAATATTGCGTTCATTTATTTATATTTCGGTTTTTTATTGTACTTTGAAAACTTAAAATAATTACAAAACTTAGAGTTACGAGTAAATATTTTAAAATTAATCGAAGCACATACAAAAAGAGAGTTATATAACACGAATGAGGTATGCAACTTAAACTAAACATTTCAATTGACAAATATAGTTTGATGTTTTACTGTTAATACTACGTATATTTATGTATGTATATCTAACTATTTGCATGATTTTTTAGAGTGTTCCGTATGTTTAGAGTTGCTGCTAACATCGAGAAAAGTACTTCGACAATATGTATAAATTTATTTCTTAACTGTACTTGATGCAGTTGCGGTTTGACCCGTTGCAACCACAGCAGCCGCTGGTGACATACAATTTCCATCAGGATATCTTTTCTGAAATTGTGTGATTAATTCTGGATCAACTAAACGTATGCCATCCAATTGATTGCCTAATGTAATCCAATTTGGTTGGACATTATGCGGGCGGCCGAAGAGCTCAATTTTGCGTGTGCCTGGACTAAGACGTTCAATAATGCCGTATATTTCATCGGGTTTGTGAGAGGTGGCACGCACTTCTGCTACAATAACGTCACAATCTAGCCCACGATTGAGATTCTTCGGATTGCCTTTCATGCCCACAAGACAATGTTCTTTGCCGTGATTTAACCAATGCCCTGTGCGACCCGTACGTATGATACGTTGCAATTGATTTGTTTTTACCCAAATGAGTTCGTCAACGCGTTCATAACTTGGTTTGATAATGAAAATGAAAAAAAAAAATAATCTTTTTGCGTTTTACTATAATTATAATATTTTAGCTTACCCCCAAAGCTTTAAACACTCTCTACCTAACTCCATAGCACGGCCAGTTACCCATAAGAAAATGAGTCCATCATCCTGCAATGCCGGTACGCCTAGCTGACGCATCTCATCGTCTGACATTGTACCTATAGTACGAATAATTATAAACCAGTGCTAAGGAAGTTTATACTTAAATTGCATTTCCTGCGCCTCACCATAAGGCAGTTCCATGTGTATATCCCATGGTGGATCGGCCATTACCACAGCAAATTTACCCAATACTGTCATGTCCAGATAGCGCAGATCACACTGTATCCATTGCGGTGGATATAAGGTCACGCTGGGATCAATGCTTCGTTTGATGCAAAGTTTTGTTTTGACATCGACTGGCTTATTAGTATTGATATTCGGTATAGTGTCAACTTCATAATGCACATATCTATATGCAAATGAAAATATATGTTAATATTTATTAATATATTCAAGTGAAAGTCTCACTTACTTGCATGTAGCCATATGGAAGCATGTATTTAGAAAACTGCAATCACCAAGTGACTCGTCAGTGTGTGATTGTATAATTTTCTTAAAATGTAATTTTGTGCAAGTATCCGGTGTTTCTATTATTTCCTCTATCGATTCATGAGAGTCAGCATCACCATCTTTTAAATCCGATACGATCTCACCATCTTCAGCTCCTGAGTCATTGCCCTTATTGTCACTTTCCGCATCTTTTGCGCTTGTATTGCCATTACTATCTGATGTTAAACTCGCATCTGCCGAGTTCGGTATTTCTTCGGCGTTAATTTGTGGGTTGGATTCATCTGCGTCGCTGCTATCTTTACTGGCTGCAGAACTTTCTTCTTTCCGGTCATGTTTCTTTTTTGCAGCCATTTCTGCTGTGGCTTGTTGTGCTTTAAGGCACTCTACTTTCGTGCCATGTGGACAAAATTCCATCACTTGGGCGCCACCGTGCGATTTAAACTTTTCAGCCACAGAGCGCTCTTTGGCAGTGGGTTTGGTTAGCAATTCGAGTATTTCTTCTCCAACTTGCTTGCTTTGCTTCTCCCTTGTCGATGGCATAGAGAGTAGAGACTAAAGATATAAATCAAATTGCAGCAATTATTTATTTGCGAGTTAAAATGGAGTTAAAACACAAACCATGATATCATCTGATGCATCTGGGCCTGCAGTGTTGGTGTCTTTTCGAGTATTTGGAGCAGCATTGGACTCAGTCTTTAATACTTTTGTAAGATTACAATCTTCATTTTCTGCATCATTTGAGTCAACTACACATATACACACATACATATATGCAAACAAAGTTATTGTACAAAGGGGTTTTTTATGCTCTATCAATACTTACATTTCCGTTTAAGTTCTTCTTTTATACCCACATAGCCATCGTTCACCAGTTCTTTATATAAATCTAAAACTATATTCGTTTCTACTGAAATAACTTCGCAGCCCATATCCTTGCCTATTGTGACGCTCTTAATATTAACAGCGCCTTGTTCGGCTAACTTACTTAACGTGTAGTTGATAACTTGTTGCGTAGGTGGTTTATCCAAAAATATAGCTACTTTTTCGATAAGTTGTGTAGAAATAATGGGAAGCACAAGTGTGCTGGAAGATAGTGTTTGCAAAAGCGCTTTTTCAGTGTCAGCGTCATTCTCTAGAATAAGAAGAGTAATTGTTTTTGGGTACCTATTTCTATGCCCTCCCATCTTTCAAACATACCCAATTCTGCGCTACTTGGATTAGGTGAATCCTTAGCCGTGTCAACGACACTATTTGGCGAGGAAGATAGCAGGCCGGCACGTTCTTTCTTCCGTTTTTCCAACTTTTCCCGGAGTGTATTTCGCTTACTTTTTACAGCTTTAATTTCATCCCAAGCATCTGCCATCTTACAACCCAAACACAATGCGAAAACCTTCTTATAAAATAAAATATTAAGGACACAGTCAAAATTCAATCAATGACAAAAAAAAGAATTATTTGCACTATGTAAAAAAGAAAACAATTCTTGTTTCACTCATGCTTCTTCTACGAATAGTACAATTCACAATAGAATAAATACAAGCCGGCTGAAAAGTCTCGTGTATATGAAGCAGCATAATAAAACAGCAATGTATGTTGTTGTTGCTAAAACTAGATGAAAACATCAAAGCCAATGCCAAGAACAATAACAACTACAAAATCAACTAGATAACAACAACTGAAAGGGATAAGAAATTACTTAATTCGTGAATATATCTTTTTAGTGAAAATTTAATACTGCTGCATATAAAATGTTCGGCTGCAATCCAGCGGATTACGATTTAAAGGTTGAATTGTCTCGCTGCTTCAATGGTATTGGCACTGTTTACTTGGCTCAGTTTCTACCCAATGGACAACATGTCGCAGTTAAGAAATATCGTATGGATAAGGCCAACAAAGAGGAGAGTATATTAGCGCGTGAAGAGCTACTTATTATGCGTCAATTCAACCACCCAAATATACATACATTCCATACTTCTTTTGTATACGGAAATGAACTCTTCCAGGTAGCCCCGTTAATGTGTTTTGGCAGTTGCAAAGACACAATCGCCAATTGTTTTCGGGCAGGTAAGTGGATAAAGAAATTTCACATCATATTGTAATTATTTTAATTAGTTCGCACCATTCCGCCATAGGTTTTCCCGAAATATTTGTTGCTCTGATAATGCGCGATGTACTCTCTGGCCTAGAGTATCTACATCGACGTGGTTACATACACCGCTCCATACGTGCCAGCCACATACTGCTGAATCAAACAAAAGCTGTGTTAGCTGGTTTCCGGGAATGCACCAGCATTGTGGCGCATGGCGAAAGGATCGGAGCTTTACATCAATTAGCACCTTGCAGCGCCCGTAGTCTAAATTGGTTGGCACCTGAAGTTTTGGAACAGAATATAATTGGTTATACTGAAAAATCGGATATTTATTCTATTGGTATCACATGTTGCGAAATGGCAAATGGAGTTGAGCCATTCGCAGATGCGCAGCCAACATTTATGTTCACGGAAAAGCTACGTGGTAATGTACCGACATTATTGGATCGTTCAACTTGCCCTGCAAGTGAGGAGATGATAGGTAACTTTATACCATGACACAGCCTATATATCAAATTCCAATGCTATATATACACATTCTTGCATTTTTATAGAAATTGTTGCTAGCACTGATTCAGATTCAATAAGACAGGCGCAACAAATCTACTGTCAGCGAGTTTTCTCCGATGAATTCCATCAAATGACAGAGATATGTATGGAAAAAAGGCCATCTAGTCGCTGGTCGGCACTTCAACTGCTTAGTCATTCCTTTTTCAAACAGTGCCGACATACGAGTATTTTAGATCAATTGCAACGTTTCGGCTTAGAGACGAAGGATTATACACAAATAAGGGGTAGGTTCAAAATTTTGTGTATTGTGTGAAGAAATGCCTTATTTCTATATTTTCAGATGAAAGCTTGGGTCTGTGCACAGATTTGAATGAAATGAGTGTACAAAGTACTGATTGGGAGTGGGATTTTTAATTTACTTCGCAAAAAATAGTCATAACAACTTGCATGCTAAAATACGTTTGTACATACTTTCATCTACATATGTATGCCAAAATAAAAAAAGCTGTATTTTACATTTTTTATTTCGCTGTTAAATCTATCGAAAACTCAAATGTATGTACTCACGTTTTGCCTCTATGAGAGAATTCGAAAGACTACAAATAAAACATTTTGTAAACTTGTCACAAAAAACCGTCAAAAATTATTCCTGCTCATAATGAAATTCATTCAATTGTGATTATGGTTACTTACAGAGCGAAACCTCTCATCTGATGGATCGAAAGCTATGGCCACATGACATTACTTTAACCACCCGCAATGATAGCGAAAAAAAAATATCATCTTATATATATAAATAGTACTCTATATACATACATTTCCTTGTACATAAATATCTATAAATAAAAACAACCTAAATTTGTATTTAAAATGTCTCTTTTATTTCAATTTAATATGTATTCTTACTTTCAATTGCTTATTTTATTATAATATTAGTGTTTAACAATTCTAATTATACATTATATAATTGTTTATTTTGTCTTAACAAAATCATAAAACTAGAAAAGCGATTCGCTGTGGATTTTTAATTTTGAAAATTGCACTATTTGCATCATTTTCTCAGTTTATGTACAAACTCCATTTTTTGTGGAATACTTTATTTTATTTATTTGCATTTTCTTAAAAGTTAGCATTGCCGTACTTATATTTATGAGAAGCAATACAGTTGTAAAAAATATTATTAAAATTTTGAGAAGCAAATAACTAAATACGCAATAAAACAATTGTTGGTTTTCACCAGAACTGAGGAAAACACCATTTCGCCAGAAAAAAAAAAACAAAAATTTCACCAAATGTGCAAATTACATTGAGTCAATTTATCTGCTTTAATTTTTCAAAACTGGGAAAACATAACATAGCAAAAACAAATGTTATTAAAAGATTGTTTACATAATAGCAAAAAACGTTAAATACTCGTTAAACCATACGTTTTTTGATTATTTACTTAAATTTCCGTTCAAATACGTACTTATTCTTGTTACAAATTTCAATTTAATATATTTATAATTTATATAGTTTATTCGCCTTGTTTAATTAAAAGTCAAAATTGAATTATATATAGATATATATACGCGTGAAAAAATCATACCAATTGACCAATTGTTCGAAAAAGCATTTTGTTTATTTATTATTTCATTTTTTGTTTAAACTATAGAAATTGCAAAGGGTTTCATATATAAATATATATATATTCATATATATAAAATAGTTAAAATAATGTATTATAGTATATTTAAAATTTAATCATAAATTAACTGACTGACTGATTTCATGTCGTGATTTAAATCGACATTTTCGATTAAATTTTATTTAATATTTATTTTTATTATAATTATTTTCTTTTTTGATATTGTACAATTTAAATTGTTTTACTTTTACAACGTATATGTTCTTGTTAAGTTTAAATTTCATTTGAAAATATTTTTCAACACGTCTTACCAAAGCTTAACATTAGTATTACCTGCTTTACAAGATTCACTGAAAAATCCTACATCACTAATTTGCACAAAACACAAATTTTTATAGGTTTCTTTCCAAACTGTTGTCAAAATTAAAACTAAATTAATTGCCACTAGCGGGGATACCAGCGTCTCAATGAGTGTATTGCAATGTTTGTATAGTGTATATATAAATATATATAAATTAAAATATTGCATAACTATTTGAATAAAATGAAATTTTCAATGAAAAGGCTTTCAAGCAAATTTCTGTTTGACTTAAAGTCTCACTTAATATTATAAATACACAAATTTATTTTTTAAATATTGTATAGAGATTTAAGAAGTAAATTTATGCCGAATGACTTAATAGTGACGCAGATTTGTGATTAATTTGGAAGCTACCAGTGTGATGCACAATCAAAACTCTTGTAAACAAGAAGAAAAATACATATAATATGCAAAGTATTAATGCTAAAATGCATAAATTTAATAAATGACTTTCTGCTACCAGCAGCAGAAACATTTTCAAATTTTTCTTTTAAACCGCAACTCAAACCGATTAGTCCGCTTTTGTTTTTGTTGTTTCTTTTCAATCTTCTCTCAATATGTAGTGTGTGCTGCTCAAAGTACAGAAACAAGGTGATAATAATAAAATTTAAAGCTAATATTAATTAAAACTTTTCTTTTACGCTCATATTTCAAATTTAAGCTACAAATTTATATACATACTTTGTGTTTATATGTATGTAAATAATTTGAATTTTACGTGTTACGTGTTTATTTTCACATGTATGGACATATCATTTCAATTTTTTATTTTTTTACTTTAAAAATAAATTTTATGCTGTGATGTCTTAATATTAATCGGATTAAATATTACCACCACCGCCACCGCCACCGCCACCGCCACCGCCACTATCTGCATCAGCAGATGTGCCGCATTGCGCCTCACGTTTCCGTCGCTCCTCCTCATCCTGTTCTTGTTTTATTTGAGCGGGCAATTTGACTTTCATTTGCACTTTGAGCACTTCACGTAACTCTTGTAATTCCTGTTGACCTTGCATGAGACGTTTAACGCCGCGCGGCAGCCCACGACACGATGAGAGATTTATTGAGCTCATGTGCGCACAATTTGCAAGTATTTCCTTGACTGCCTCATCTGAAACCGATGAACCACAGAGATTCAAATGTCTGTAATTTAATTAAATAGAAAATGATTTCATACACTGCTTCCTAAACCCCAGTTTTACTTACGCTAACGGCGATTCACTACCCTTTTCCGCCAATGCGCGTAATGCATTATCAAGCGGCTGTTGTACATTCGCCCAGGCCAAGTCTAACTCAATTAGACTATGTGCCCATTTAGAGGCAATTAGCTCAAGGCCAGATCTATAGGGAAATTAAATAAGTTATTACATTATTATTAAGCTCAAGAGTATTAAATAATAACATATTATTACCCAACATCACGCGTCACTGAGCAAAAGGACAAAAATAAATGTTTTATGTCCCACGCTGGCAGACGTATGAGACTTTCATGCGTGAGTCGTGCGCAGCCGCGCACATCTAAAAGTTTCAGCTTAGAGCTGGTTTTCAATATGCGTTGCAAATGATCATCACCGATAACGCGACACTCATCAGTTAGGGCTGCCACCGACAGTTCCTCAAGCTCAGGAAAACCGGGTGAATCCATCTGTTAAAAGATTTTCAAATTTAATTAAAGCAAAAAATAAAGAAATTAGCGACGATTATATTGTGCTTACCGTTTCCTGTAAAGTTGCATTGCTCCATGTTATATGTGAATTGGTTACGCGTAGCACTTTTAATTTGGGGCAACCATGTTGAAGCTTCTCAATATGAAAGATGCCATGTGATGTTGCTTGGGTTGTTACATTGGAGAGATCTAAATTCACCAAATTTGAACAGTGGGTCTGAGGAAAAAAGGAGAAACATTGGTTAATATTACTACAATATTAAGAGTTTAGCTAAATTTTAGGCCCACTCTTTTTTTTTTTTTTTTTTTTTTGCTAATTATAATATAATACAAAATGTTTCTTACAGCTAAGGTCGCCACTATCTGGGGTATTCCAGCCAGCCGATTATGTGCCAAATACAAATGTGTTAAGCGATCACCCATTGTTTGTAATGCATTGCACAAAGATTGCGGACCAACAGCGCTCTTGCTTGCATTCATTTCCACCTTTAGGTAATGATGATTAGAGTTAGTATATTTAAAATCAAAATCTAATAAATTAATTATACTCTTCTTTCACTTACATTAACTGAGCTTAAATCGATTCGTTCTAATCTTTTCATATTTTCCGTTAAATATGCTAAATGATCGGACGTGAAACCTTTCCAGCCCGCTAAATTGATGCTAACTAAGGACTGACAATTAGCTGATAGCTTTTCCAAAAAGCAATTTATATCTGTCATTTTCCAATTAGCTAAAAAAAGAAGAAAATAACATCACATCAGGTTCAAAATTGTAATGTTTTTATTGCAGTTTTGCATACCAACATTCAACTCTGTACATTCACTACAACGATTGTCAATGAACCATTTCAACTTTAACTCGGTACGAAATTTATCCTTTATATATGAAGCCAGATCCATATTTTTCCACAATGTTGGCGTTAACGCCACATTGCGCCACAGTGTACAGACACGCGCGAGACGACAGATTATTGGGAAGCAACCTTCACGTTCTGTTAGACTTTGAAAAATCTGAAAGGAATTACCTTTTGTGAAAAAATTGAAACAAATTCCCAAAGCCATATTTTTACCTTGTATAGTAATTCTTGTGGTATACGTGCACCCCAGTCGCCTTGTTCAATGGAGGCACGGTGTTTTTCTCCTTGTTCTTCGATACCGCTAAAAGAGACTTTCTTCTGCCGTTCCCCATTACCGCCTCTGTTCTTGCCGCGTTTAGTAGGCATTACCTCTTGTTCACTTTCATCACTATCAACACGCGCCTTTGATTTAGCTTTCCGTGATCGTTTGCGCGTTTGCTTAGATGGTGTAGTTGCTGTACTCTCTATGGATTTTACAGTAAGAGGCGGTGTTAATGCGCCTGTGGTAGCTGCCAAATTGCCCGTTGAATCCGACTTTTTTATGCACAGTTTAATGCCTGTTTTGTTGTTGCTTATCTGAAATGGAATTTTGAGAAAATTTATTAAAAAATTTGTTTTTTTTTTGGTTTCATGATTGTAAATATATTACCTCGCTTTCATAAATGGGCAAAGTAGATTTTTGTTTCCGTTGTTTTGGTGTGCGCGTTACCTTCTCTTTCAACTTTTTATTCATAGCTGACATTTGCGGTTTCCCACTGGATTTTGGTATAGTACCATTTGCAATCAAATTAATGGGTTGTACGACTCGTTTTCCACCCACAGCACCATCGGCAGCAACCGTCGCACTTCTTTTGCCTGTTGAGTTTGATGGTTTTGACCCACTAGAATTAGCGGCGGCACCTGAAGCATTAGCTGCTGAAGCAGAAGCAGTAGAGGGTAAATCAGATTCTTCAGGCGGTGTGGTTGGTGTAAGCGCTGCGCTACCTGTTACCGCTAAAGCATCGGTTATAGGCGAAAGTTGAGAATCGGATGCTGGTGAAGAAGACGTGGCTGTATTAGCATCATCTGTTTGCGTTTCAGATTTGGGTGGTGAGAGAATTGTATCTGGAATGGTGGTACTTAAGCCGGCAGCAGCGACAGCCACAGATGCTGCCACTCCCATTGCCGTAGCAATAGATGTATTTGTTGTGTTAGTTGTAGTCTGATCCTTTGGTGGTGGTGTTTGGGATTGTGTTGAATGCGAAAGACTGTTGTCATCATCTGCAGTGGATGCATATTCCTTTTGACTGTCTTCGTCTTCGACAACATCCTGTGATTCCTCCTGTGCATTGATATCATTGGAGCTTTCTGCGGTATTCAATTTTTCTTCAGTAATGTTAGCGTGATCAGCATCTTCGATTGTTTCTTGCAACACGCCAGCCTTGTTATCGTCTTCAGTGTTTTTATCAATGTTGGCCTTAGAATTAATAGCTGCAGATAAGGTTTCTTCTTGACTTGTGTCATCGTTTATTTCCTCTTTATTCTTATCTGTAGCACTTGTAACTACTTTATTATCTACTTGGCGTTGTATATTTCCTTCTTCGTTTGTATCTCTGACGTCGACAATTTTGGATTTATGATTTTGAGTATCATTACAGTTTTCGGTTTTTTTAAGCTGTGACAAATCGGCTGATTTAGATGATGTTGGAGATATATTTGCCGCATCTGAATCACAGCCACTTTTCGTCGGCTCGATAGGCCGGTTTTCTACTTCCATGGTATTTTCTTATATGTATATATATATACAGATATGCACATATAACTTCAAAAGAAGCAACGTGCGAAAGTGTAAGAAATAAAGTATAATTAATTAAAAATTAATTTAAGATAGTTTTAATTAAATATTAAGAATATGTATAAGATATCGTGCAATTTAGTGATTACGATTAAAGTATGTTTTGTTTACATATAAACATATACATTGAGAGGTGCGGTCGGTTCTCACCTGATTATGTTATATATTTCTTTCTTTTTGTTTGGCGCCCTCTTTTTATGTTTTTGTAGTATTTTTCTATTTGTTTACTGTTTACATCACATCATTCGTAACAATTACACAGTTTCAACCTAAGTAATCGACAAGCACACTTTTGACTTTCCAAATTTAATACAGAGTTGGCTTGTTATGTTCACAAAAATTAAAAACTATACATCAGTTGGCGAAATTATAACTTAATCACTGTTCATTTATATTTTTATGTTGATTTGCCATTTTACCTCTCATATACTTCTCAATTTTTTGTTTATTTTTGTTATGTTTATTTTGTGCCGAGTTTTATTTGAGCTTTTGGCGCCTTTATATACTACTGAGTTGCTCTCTTTCTATTTATACATATTTATTTCTGCATATTATACTATTTCAGTTACACTCATATTTATTAACCGACAACTACTTTATTAAATATGCGTATTGTGCAAATACCATTAGCAAAAACGAGAAGAATGTCTTCCGATTATAGCGTATGTGGTTCACGAAAATCCGAAAATTTTCCCCATTGTTTTTTTTCTTCTACACTTTATATTTTTCACCAAATAAATTCTTGTAATATAAAACAATACAACCAAACTTTATTCATTCGTTTTAAATTTCGTCAAACCTAATAGTACATTTCCAACTAATTCTGCTTTATTTTTCAAGCACTTGAAGAAAGTGAAAATTTTCACTGCAACGACGTAGAATACTAGTGTAGTGGACGAAGTACGAAACACAATAAACTTTTTGTGCTTTGTTTTCTCTTTCTATAAGTGCAAGGTCGTATTTGTGGGGCCGCTATTGTAGCTATCAGCAGTTTTTGATACAATAGTAGTATTTTTGTTCCTATTTTCGATTTGCTTTTTGGTGCAGCCTTACTAGAATACCAATTGGGATTGCCCTATTTGTATATACATATATATTTATATTCTTTTTAATTTATTGAAATAATTGTATATATATTTTATTATGATGTAAGCATTTACCGGCCGTGGTATCCGAGTTGTTAGCGTTGCGTACTACCAAGTTAAACTTTCAAATTTCGGTAGCCCCTAGGCAAGGAATGTCAACCCATTCGAGGCTGCTTAGTATAAACCATTGGAAGGACCAATTGTTTGAAACACATTAAAAATTCAAAACCACAAATTGAAGGGGGAGCTCAGCCGAAAATCGTTATAAAGAGCCAATTATATATGTATAAACATTTGGTGACTCTCTAAAAATATAATCACAATTTTAAATAGTGTAGCTACAAAGCGACAATCGTAGTTATTAGAAGATTGAGATATTCAGTTTAAATACTTCCTGTTTTTATTTTTATAAGACAGAAGCTCCGGGTCCTTCCCGTATAAAAAATTACTTACGCGACAACTACTGGATTATAGTAGCCTCTTGCATTACCGTGGGTAAATTTTTGAACCTCTAACCCGCAGGGAAACCAAATACTTGTCTCTTTTATGAAGAACTCAGTTTACGATATTGCATTGTCTTCTAACTGTACATAAAAGAGTAGTTCCTCATTAATTTTATTACAACAGATATCCGGGAATAGAGGCGTGAGAAAAGATTTAAAATTATTAAAACATTTTAATCATAGTTAGGTATTGTAGAATCCAAGTTTCGAGTTATCAGCATCAAACAGGTGTGCTTGCTGAAATTTTTGAAATGCTCGAAAAAATTCCAACGAAGCATTGAACTATACAAAAAAACATTACGCAATCAATCCTATTTCACAGCAACCCTGAATTGAAATTGTAAATATTATAGTACTTATTTTTTCGTATTTCTTTCCGTTTTTTCTGTTTAACGATTTCCAATTCACACGCATACATTTCATTTATACACTTCATTTTCTGTGCATGTTGCATTTTGCAACGTCCATTGTCGATGTAAACGTAAACAAGTGTAGGCGTAAGTGAGACAGCAACTGTATACAGCCGCTTGTTACACACATTTAAGCACTCCCACACGTACTCATTTAAATGTTCAAGTGCTTAATCTCGATTATACCGACATTTTCACTTTTCATTAAAAGAATATGCCACAAGAGAACTCTATTTGTTGAACGTCTATAATATTCTTATCAACTATATTTACTTTTTCCTACACAAAACACATAAGTTTTCTCTCTGGTGACACTTTGCCGCCGTTACTTACTAAATACATATATGTATATGCAACACTAGCACGCATACTTTGGTTTGTATTTCGCTTTTCCTTTATTCACTCCACCTACTTTGAGCAATTGCAGCAGGTACAGATAAAAACGCACTTGCCTAAAAATGTTTTATTATTTTATCCTACTGAGATTTGGCTTTTTTTTATAATTAATATGGAGAAATAATTACTCTTTGCTCATTTATGGATCTCTTTCCATTTCGTTGCGCTACTAGTTTTATTTCACAAGATTGAAATTTATCCCCATTGATTGTTTTTCTAACTACATTGCTCTCGTATTGTTCAACACAAACTAGTGTTGCTAGTGTTGAAATTTCTATATTGGTCCAGCCGCATTCCTATCTGCGTCGGCTTACCTTTTCTTTCTTATATACCAGCAAATACTATACCACTTTTCCTTTCTGACACAAATTAAATTCTTAGCGGGGAAGCAAAACTTTAGTACAGTACGAAAAAAACGCGTTTCCTTAATTGAAATGGTAACCCTGCCCTTAATTATTACTTGGTATCGAGCTCTCATTTCGCATCCGTTTCCGTTATAAGAACATTTAAATCGTAAATTTAAAAGAACTTTTACATTTAACTAAGCGGTGTATATAAGAGTCAAACAATGGAATTTCCTCATTTTCCCTGTATCGAAATCGCTACAATTAAAACTGAGTCCGTCGAAAGTCCATTGCTTGAGAATTTTCTCCAGGACTTCAATGCTCAACTGGTAAACGGAAAAGGCATACAAATGTTATAACAGTTGTTGTTGAATAACTGTCATTTGATAGGTTGAAGATATTTCACATCTAGAAGCATCGTGTGAAAAATTAAGAGACTGTAAAAAAGGCCTACAAACTTTCAAGGACAAGTATGTCAGAGAAATATACGCACTGACACATAACATTAAAGGTGATGAGATTTTACCGCAGCAATTGTCAAGCAGAATTCAAAGTGAATTAGGGCAATTTCGTGTGAGTGAACATAGAATTGAGGAAATGCTCTCACATTTTAATGGAGACTATAAGGATTGGCGTTCATCGTTGGACCAACAAATGCAAACTTCACTTGGAACGGATGATTTAATTGATTTAGTAATGAAATGCTTAGAGGGTAAACAATTATTTAATTTCATTTTTTATTCAGACACAAGAAGAATTGATGGACAAGTTAGGAGCCATGCGCACTACCGCTGAAAATGCAAAAACTGAACTTAATACCATCGAAGAAATAGCTAAGAAAAATACTACAATTTTAGAAGTAGAACTGAGGGCATTGCAGGAGGAAGTAAACAAACTTGACACATTAAAGAAGGAAATGAGGCAAGTAAATCGCAGGCTTAATATTTAAAAAAAAAATATAAATTTTCACTATACATTTGCTCCTAAATAGCAACACTCAAGAACAACTCATGGATGAATTAAAGGAAAAGCAATTTAAAAATCAGCAGGATACAAATAAGTTATTAAGGGAAATTGCAAGTTTACAAAAAAACATAGAGCTATATAACTAAAATGAAAAAAAAAACAAATTTTCAAACCTATATATAAACATATAATAATAATTTCATATACATACACACACATTTAATTTATGAACTACAATAATATACATATGTATATGTACTAATTACAAAAACTACACTATTTTCAATATAAATTTTAAAACAAGTCTTTTTATTCATATGACTGCTTTCCCTGTCTTAGTCCTTATGGAGCGCCAACCAATGTTTTGCATCTACTGTTGCATCACCATAGGTGCGTCCGAACGTGAATGCTTCGCCAGGTACATGTCCCGCATATTTGGGAACCATGCCGATTGTACGATGATAGATGACAAAATGTCCAGTATTCGGACAAGAGCTTCCAATGCCGGCATTCTCTTGCGGACACCACTCTGCACTACGCCTATGATGATAGTTATTCGTGAACTCACATAGTGCGCTGTTTGTCAGCTGTTTGCTAGTTTCGCCGAAACGCGCCAAAGCCATGGGTATGTGACCACCGTAACCTGAAAAATATGGGAAAAAACTATTTTCAAAATACTTGGCAAAAGTTTAGTATGCTTCAAATTTTTATTGGTTGGCAGTTACGCGTAGAATACGACATATCAATGCAATTCATCAGTCATAATCTATATAAAAAAGTAAACTTTACACGTGCAAATTTCTTCGACTTTGAATTTAAATAAATTTCTTTGATATGTATTGTTAAGCGCTCGTTGGATCGATAATTTGGTAAATAAATATTGCAAAATAGTTATACGAACAAAAACAGCATTTATAGTATATCAGTCGGAATTTCCCCCTGAAATATGTCAGTTGTTAAAGTGTTGCTCATAGCAACCAAATTAAATAGTAATAACAAGTAGAATATAAAAAATTTAAGTCATTAACAGTAGCACCAACAACGAACCACTTTTAAACTTTGTTATAAATTTATAGGCTACGTAAAACTATCTACACGTATACATACATACACGTCTACATATGTATATGCAGTAGTTTATAACGCTGCTAAATAGCTCACCATTAACAATATATTTCTCCTCGTCATCGTTTTCCATGAAATGTGGTACAGTAAATTTCGAATAACGTTCTTTCTTCTCCACAAAATTACAATCAAGCTTTTGGAAGGCTTTTGCCCGCGCCTTGACAGGTATTAACGGTGAACGATAATATGTATAAGGTAGCTATGAAAATAGATATTCTCATTAAAATGAATTTATTTTCAACCGTTTGCTGCAGTTCCTTCACTCACCATTCGCTCGTTCAGTTTCTTTTCAAACACGCCATAACCACTCCCCAACAAATCCCTATGCACTAAATTTCTTCTTTCGCACCGCAATTGATCCATTAATAACTCATGTTCAGCCATGCCAGCCGTAGCGGCGGCAATATAACGTTTGCCAGTTTTCGATGCGAGATTAGGCACAAAACCATCATAGCCGGGTATGATGGGATGACGGTAAACCGGATCAACAAACTTTTCTCGTCTATTCAGAAGCTCGATTTCATGTGCCGTTGGATACACCAATGAAATGGGTGCTCGATTGGAAGGTGTCACAATCAATTCCGGCGCATGTATGACACAGGGATCAATAAGTAATTTATGCGTAAGCTTACCATACGTTTTACCAGCACGAAAGCGAAACTGTGGACAATGACCAGTGTAGCTTAAGGTAAGCTCGTTAGTTCGCAGAATTTATTTATATACTTTGAAAAATTTTAAGAAAACTTACCCTGGTATGAAATGCGGTTCTGGCGTGATAACTAAATCCATATTTAAAATTTTGTTTAAACTGTACTATTTTTATTAATTCTGCTAATTTTATTCAACCAAATTATTTACCAGACACTTTTTTAACAATTCTTTTTTATATACATACAAATTTTGCACAAAAACGTTCACACTTTCTTCTTTTCAAATAATTTATTTTTATATAAAATTACATTTTTTGACTTTTCCTATATAATTTTTTATGGTTTATTTGGCATAGAAAAATAAACAACTACTTTTGTTACTTATATTCTAATCATTCTTTGTTTATTATTTAAATGTTTTTTTTTTTTAGGTTTTTTGTGCTAAAACTTAAAGCCCTGCCACCTTAAGCATTTCATCCACATCTACAATTTTTTCCCGAGGCTTACCCAGGCGTTCACCAGCTTTTATTTCAGCTTGATTGATTCGCTGCCAATGAGACCACGTCACAACACGACCATACTGTTTGGCCTCCGATCCTGCCTTTGTTGAACTGGTATCTACCTCATTGGATATAATATCATCACATAATGTTTTCGCCACACCGAATGCACCATTCATTGTGGTCAGAATGACGCCAGTTGGACCTGTGCCTAGCCAACCTGCAACGTAAAGACCTTTATCCACCGACTTACTTGTAGCATCCTTCAGAACACGCCCATTCTCATTAAATACACGTCCACCACGATCATCAAAACATATGCCACCATCAACGCAAGTAGATTTATACCCTATGCTACGTAATATTAATTCAGCGGGTAAGTGGTCGATTTTATCTGTTGGAATAGCTGTGTCATTTTGTAGTTGCGTAACGGTTAATTTTATTTCATTTTCCCCAATAGCTTTAGGCGCACGTAAAAATATGGGTAAGAAACGCCTTTGAGCGCGATTACTGCTACTACTACTAGATTGTTCTGATAAGCTCTTTAACATCAGTTCTGTTAAACGCTTGCGCGGACGCGGTAAATTCGGTAAATGTGCCGGTACATCTATTAAAAGATATTACACATGATACAATGAATGATAAGTTCAATTTAAACTTGCCCGTGAAATCATCTGGTTTCCATATAGTTTGAACATTTGGCAGTTTCAACATTTCACGCAGTTCTTTTATAGTAAAAGCAGCCTGAAGCGGTCCACGACGACCAACCAAATACACCTGCTCGACTTTGCTACGGGAAAGTGCCTCCAATGCATATTCAGTTGTGTCCGTTTTCTGGGATTATAAAATAATTTTTATTAATCTACAATTATGTATTATTTACTGGTGTGTGATTTACATAAATACATATGGTTTAAAGCTAGTAATTTAATTTGGTTTAACTTACACGTAAAGCATCAACTGAGCTGAGCAACATGCGCGCCGCATCAACAGCCACATTTCCTTGCCCCAAAATGGCCACCGATCTTCCACTCAAATTAGGATTAAGATGTTGTTCACCGGGCAGACCATTATACCAGGCCACAAACTTACGTGCTGATAATACATTTGGTTGATTTTCATTGGGAATGTTAAGCTCACGATCTTGATCCGCTCCATAAGTAAGCAAAACTGCATGATACCGTTCACGTAATTCTTGCAAACTTATGTCCTTGCCTAACGTTACGTTGCCGAAAAAATTAAAATTTTTATGCTCAGCAGTTTTGTTAAAAGTATTGATTACGTTCTTCACCTCCGGATGATCGGGCGCTACGCCGAATCTATACAAGATGGGAAAATATGTAGACATTAAGCCATAGATTTACTTATGTACATATGTACTATGTACGGTCGTTTACTCTTAGTCTTTGTTTAAACAATTTGTTAAATTCGTTATGACTATTTTTAATTATGCTTATTAGTTACATAAATTGAATATAGTTCAGTTATCGCAAGTAGCTATCAATTCAGATAACATTACATGACTTGCAATTTCGATAAGCACAATATTGTATAAAAAAAAGGTTTGAAAATATACTTACATATATACATACATATTTAAACTGTTGCTAAAAATAATAACTTTAGTCTGAAGACAAACAGGTGTCCACAATACCGTGGTTTCGAACGAAATCTTAATGAATTTCTTTCTTAAAATAGCTCATGTTAAAGGTAACTTACATTCATATCGGCTTACTTACCGCACCAAACCAAATGGAACTGGCAATTTTTCAATAACATCCACGACACAATCGCTAAGTGTTTTTAATATATACTGTGCGGCATAAAATCCTGCCGGTCCCGCGCCAACTATGCAAATTCGTTTTGTTGGACTATTTACAGCAACACCAGCACTGAATTCTTTTTTGTTGGTATGCAAGCAACATTGTTTTGTGATTGTTGACAACAATACTTTCTTCGGTAGAAACATTTCACTTTATTTGCTTATAAGAGAACAGTTTTAATATAAATATACCAATCACGTCTTATCAATGAAGTTAATAAGAAACAATCAAATACAAACAGCTGATTGGTGAAAACTTTTGTGCAATCAGCCGTCGGGGTTTCATTGTAGTTAACAGAAAAAGGTATATTGAGGAAGCTTTGGAGCTTTGGTAGAGCCAAAGAACGTATATTGATATACGTTCTTTGGCGAAATCCACGATCAAACAGCTGATGACAGTTGACAAAATTAAAAATCTGAGTGTAGCAAAGTAAGAATGAAATTTAATTTTTAAGTTTTAGTTAGATAAAATTAAATAATAATTTAATCTGTAAAATGCAAAATTTTCTGAATTTAAAAAGAAAAAATACGTTCTTTTGCGAAATCCACGATCAAACAGCTGATGACAGTTGACAAAATTAAAAATCTGAGTGTAGCAAAGTAAGAATGAAATTTAATTTCTAAGTTTTAGTTAGTTAAAATTAAATAATAATTTAATTAGTAAAATGCAAAATTTTCTGAATTTAAAAAATAAAAAATACAAGGAAAAATTTTAATCCATTCCATGGAATTTAAATGACGATAAATGCATTACGTATATTTGCCTTTCGTTTTTTTGTTGTAGCAATTCGATTCACTTCCTTTCCTATGCAGACAATGCTAATAAACTTTATCGAGATCATCTAACCGAAAGAAAACAGTCTGATTCGAGAGATAAACCGTAGGTAGTTTGGTGCTAGATGAGTTGGAAAGAGGTGGTGCCTTTTTATCCTCATCACTGTTTCTGAATGCATTTGCCAAATCTTAATGTGCAAAAAAAAAATTAAAAAATTATGAACTATTCTGTCTATATTTAATATACATATGTACGTACATACTTGTTTATTTTAAAAAAAATGTTTTTTTGTACTTGGATTTTTACGAACTTTTTCGATTAATGCGCAAAGCAATTTCCCGGTGCTTGGAAAACAAAATGAAGTTGAAATGAATTGTGTATGAATAAGAAGTAAAAAAAAAACCGGAAATATCCGTACGCACCTGCGATGAAATATATGTTTATCTCTTTCTTAACAAATTGTAATTAGTTTAATTACAAAATAAATATTACTATTAGCTATTTTTTATTCAAAATTGCAAATTATTTATTAGTAACCCAAGTGAGCAAGTGATTATATTTTTTCATTCCGTATTTATATTTCGAAAAGCAGTTACTGCTGATTTTGTCTATATGTATGTATGTGTATACTATTTTTTTTATGATTACGATTTTGCAATATTGATTTAAATGCTTCATATGACCCGACATACAAACATACATATCTACACTACATTCTGATGTCTGCATGTGTAATACAACACACGTTGCAATTGATCTTTATCAACAAAGCATACGAATAAATATTGCCCAGCGAACCTGATTCAAGATGAATCGAACAAATGTTCCCAACAGAAACTAACCTAAATGTGTATTGGGTGCATTGAACTTGATTTGTATTGATTTGATTTGTTACTATTTCATCAGCGATGGCGGCGTGTGCATCTTTTATTTATAATAAACAATAAAGATGACAGTGACGAGCGTCAGATCTGTTCAATAGTCTTACCTCTTCCTCGACTTCGCTGTAAGTATGCCTCGTATGAGTGACCGGAAAATGATTTTCTCATCAATTTAAAGTAACTCTTCAAAATGTAACACGTGTAAAAATTATAGTTTACATATACTATGGATTGGCTAGATTGCAGTTCCTTGAACCAACATTCGTTAAGGTTATCATGGAAAGAGAAGTCTCAAGTGTACAAAATGCAATTCATCGCTAAGAATTCAATACCGAAAAAGAGTTTTGCATCGGTATTGCATTGACTGTATTCGCTGTAATAGTTTGATAGATTTAATGCTGAGATTCAGAAACCCATTGCTGAACATTTAGAGATAAAACGAGGCATTCTGGTTGATAAACATAAGTGTATGCAGTGTGAGATAAGACAGGTTAGCCTACATTTCACGCAACTCTAGAAGAAGTGTTCATCTTTTAACTATCGGCGGACTGCCCTTAGGTAACTACAAGCCCACAAATATTACTATAGAAAGTTTAAAAGTGTCTAAGCCATTTGAAATTATAACCGCTCAACGTGCTCTTCGTTATTTCTCCAGCACGCTTTGCTCTTTTATTGTCTGATCATGTGAGGTAGAAGAAATATGAATACCTCAAAATAAGCCAAATACACTACTCTGTTCTACGAGGTGTGGCAATTAAGTAATGAGACTGATTATATTGCTTTGCCGCGATTGTGGTAACCCTGCGCCCTTTCCCTTCTCCCGGCGTCCTTCTCCTCTCCATTGATATATTTGCCATCTCTCTGGCTTATTTGGTTTGCCTACTGTGTCGTGTTGAGTAAGCGTGTGTTCGTGGTGCTCGTCACGAAAATGGAAAAACGAAATTTGGGCGAAACAGCTTCGGAAACATACGCTAAAATTGTAAAAGTGCATGGTGATAGTGCTCTTAGTCGTGCATACCTAGACATGATTTAAGTTGACTAATTTTTATATTTTTTTTGGGTTATTTCTTGAAAATCTACCAGAGACCTGGAACCAAGTTTCATTACCTTAAAATATAAATAAAATTCTTTTTACGGCAAATGAATCAGTCTTCCCCTAAGAAAAAGATAATGGATATGACCAAATACAATTATATCGGTTGAGTAACAAGTCATCCATTATTTCTGCTGAAGATGAGTTTAATGATCTGGCTATATCTGCCGCGCTCTATAAGTGTGATTGGATTGTGCTAGATTGTGTTAGAGAGATGATGATTTGTACTAAAAAAAAAATATTGGGAGAAGAGTTGATCACTTAACTCAGTAGGTCTCGAGGGCATGTCAAAGGTGGACATTAGTAAAGTGAAAATACTTTATATTCCACAATTCATCTTCGAAAATTTGAAGAGTGTTTGAGGTCCTCACGATTCAATTTCGATTTCTTTCCGCTAATTTTGATGTAAAAGTTACTTCACGATGTGGAGGGCCAAGTGTCAAAATAACCATAAGAAAATGGATATTGAGTCTAGCCGAGATGCGATCACAGTTTCGATTTCCTAGAGACTAAAACTTGCACAAAAAATCTTTTGGCACCACGTGAAAAAGGTTGGGTACGCCAAGAAGCTCATTGTATGGCTGCCACATGAGTTGAATTCCCATCTGCGAAGCGCTGCTGAATCGTAGCAGCTCAGTTCTGTAGCGTATGATGCCTGGTGATGAACAGAACTTACAACAGAACGAAACGGAAATGGTCGAGGTTGAAAAGCAGTGAGTTGGCAGATATGGTCTCAAGTCAAAATTGACTAGCCGAAAGGTTTTGTATTGTGTGTTTGGTGGAATTGGCAAGAAATCATTTACTATGAGCTGGATCTGTACTGCCAGTAGTTGGACGGTCTGAATGAAGCAATCGCCCAAAAGTACCCAGCATCGTCCAACGGGAAGGGAATGTCATGTCAGGACAACGCCAGATCACAGACATCGATAGCGACTAGCCAGAATCTCCGAGAGCTTGGTTGAGAGGTTCTTATGCATCTAATAAACCGGACATCGTTCCAAGTGAATACCATCCCTATGGCAAATTACTTGACTGGTAAGAAATTGGCTTTAAGAGAAGCGGGAAATTAATTTTTTAACAATAAGGAGTTGTTATTTGACCAATAGTATATGTACTATGTATAAAAAAATAACAAAAATAACAGTTGTAGGAAACTAACGAAAATTTCCAAATATTTCATCCAGCGAACGTTAGAGCAAAGTACTCTCCAAGAAGGGGCTCTAATAGGTCAATATGGTTGGACGGACGTAAAATAAACGAATTACAAATTACAAAAATGCTATTTACATACATACATATGTACATTTTTGAAAATCGCATAGGCGTTATGACGGTTCTTTTTTTTAAATATTCTCATCACAAATCTCTAACGATTTTAATTACAACAATAATAACAAATATTTAATTAAATAATAGTTATTTCATAACTACGGCTGGGTTCGTAGGTCACGTGTACACATACGTATGTGTGTGTGTGTGTATAAAAACATTTTTTTTTATTTTCCACTGCTTGCATGTGGCGCACACATATGTATGTGTATACACAAAATGTTGCATTATCTTACCGGCATTTAATTTAAAAATAATTCACACACAAAATAAAATAAAAATATATGTATACATACATACCTAGATTATATGTATGATGCTGCAGTACCTACCATTTACATATTTAGGTGTTAAATAAGATGCTGATAACACAGCTTATTTCCTAGGCATTTGTTCGCGTATGCACTTGTACATACATATATACGAGGTATGTTCAAAAAATATCGCGAATTTTGTATTTCTTCAAAAATTATTTATTTATTCATGAATATCTATTTTGTCCCCTTCAAAGTAATCCCCATGAGATATTATACACTTGTACCGACGGGTTTTCCACTCTTCGAAGCACTTCAAAAAATCATTTTTTTTATCATGTTTAGCTCCTCCTTATAAAGACGGCATCGAAGTCTTTATCTCGTCAGTCGTAGCATAACGTCGTCCTTTCATGGGCCTCTTCAGTTTGGGGAAAGTCGTGCAAAAGCAAAGATGTGTGAGCAGGGGCGTTATCGTGGTGCAAAAGCCAATTCTTGTTCTACCACAAATCCGGGCGTCCATCCAAAACACGTGCAAGCAAAGCAGCTGTCAATAATTAAGTGAACATTCAAAATGGCCGAGCTTGTCGGCATAAGTGACAGACCTGAGTACCAACATAACGCCACGTAACCCGCTAAAATTCAAAAAATCGCGATACTTTTTGAACACACCTCGTACACACATACATATATATATATATATATATATATAGAAAGCCTAAGTATTTCAAAAAATAAGTATGTATATGTATTTTTTTTTTTTTTTTATTTCATATGCTATTATATTTGATTAAATGACATTTTATTTAGTTTCTCTATGATTTCATTTTAATGAGCTCCGACTAAGCGATAAGAGCCGACTATAAGATGCCTGTGAGACCCGAAAACCAGCTTCATTCTCAGGCAAACGTTTGCTAACGATAGACAGTTTTTGTGGTTTTAAAATCGAAAACGAAAAGAAAAAAGATAAATAAATAAAAATTGTGTACTAAAACAATAATAAAAAGAAGGAACTTGAATGGTGTGCCGAACAAAATTTGGAACAAATTTCTAGAACAACTGTGGTTTTCACATAAGTAATTTCCAAAACCAGCTGTGATAACAAATTGTGGTTACAAACTGAGTATTTCTACTTCGATTGCTAAAGAAAAAACGATATAAAACTCCATTTGCATTACAAAAGTGAGTCTAAAAATTCTGCCACTCTTGTGTTGTACACAACATACCGGATTTAGTGCGCCACCGTTGTTGTGAAAGTTTGAAAAAAGTGAAAAACATGGAAGTACCGCCACCTGAGGAGTTGATGCATCCGCTTTATGTGCCCAATAAAACACTAATGGGACCCGGTCCGTCTAATGGCTCACAGCGTGTTCTCGATTCGTTGAGTAATCCCATTTTGGGTCATATGCACAAAGAATGCTTTCAGGTATGTAAACATAATGGATTTTTTTTCTTTTTACAAACAATTATTATTATTTTGCGTATTTTTCAATTTTTTGAGTGGTTTTCGATTTATTAGATAATAACTTATAGACTAAAATATATGAAAAGAAAGACGGTCGCGGTAGACGAGTGGTAAGCATTGCGTACTATCCTTCGGAAGGTTCGGATGCAAGTCCCGGTGCGACCAAAATCTAAAAGTTATAAAAAATTAATTAAAATAAATGATTAAGTTAAGTTTTCTAATTGCGGTCAGGGAATGCCAACCGCTTTGTGGGGTATTCCTGACATGTAATAAAGGCTCCTTAATATAAACTCAAGGTCCCTCCATTTGTGGGAAAACACATCACGACGCAAAACCAGAAATTGGAGAAGGGGCTCGGCCGAAAATAGCTTCAGCGGTTACAAAGTGCCTATAAAATATATATTTATATATATATATACGAAAAATAGAGAAAAGTTTTCCCCATATTTCCCCAGGCAAAGAGCTGTCTATTGGCCAAATTTCAAACGAATCGAAACATTTTTCAAAATTGGTCCTGACATTTACAAAGAGATATCTCTGTTCCAAATATCACACAGATCGAACTATGAATACGATATTTCCAAACAAATCGGTCCCTGGTTCAATTCCAGAAAGAAAACTTCTTCAACTTCTACTTCCCGGAAGAAAAGTGTTTCTAAGGGCAATTTAAGCTACAACTAAACCAAATTGTATATAAATCAAGCGATGAATTATAAATTTTTCGAATAAATCCGTCCCAGGTTCACTTCCCGGAGGAAAAAGGGTTGCCCATATCAAAAAATCAGGCAAAATTATCTGTGCACCAATTTTCAGGTAAATGAAACGATTTTTAAATGAATTAAATTTTTTCGTATAGATCGGTCCCAGCTTCATCTATGCAGAATACACCCTCCAAGTTTTAGGTCTTTATGATCAGTGTTTTAGGCAGTGAGTTGATCCGTCAGTCATTCAGGAATAAACATAGATAAGGTTTGCCACTATGTTTGAGAAGTGATTTCGTACAAGTGTCTTGAATAAATTCCAGCCGAAAGCCCCAAATTTCGACCCCGCATTAACCCCTCAAAAAATATTCCCGAAGTGGTAAATCGCACGATCCTAAAAGCCACGAAACTGGTCCACGTTGAGATATATTGCACTCACTTAAGATTCTCTTCAATGAATTGATTCTTTCGTTGGCTGCATGGATGTAGATGGCCCATCAACATTCTCAAATTATGGCACGAAAAAGTCATTTCCCCATTGATTGTAACATTATGACTTTGCCGTATTTCGTTTTTGAAGAAAATCCATATTGATTCTTTGTGGGAATGTAATGTCGTCTCAACATTTTTGTTTAGTAACGACGCCCATTTCAAACAAAATTGAGCTCCATCGCTGAACTAAATTTTCTTTTGAAAATAGGGATCAGTGTCCATTTCGTTTTGGACCCATTCGCCGATCCGTCGATGCACTTGATGATCGTTCGGTTTCAATTTTTACACGAGCTGGATTTTGTAAACCCACAAGCAACGATCCTTCCGTAGAATCTTCCATAAAGTGGATGGATACAGCTGCAATGACTTATTCGGGTCTGCTTCGATACTCTGCTCCACAGCAGCAATAGCGTACGTATTAAACGGCGTCTCCAAGGATGCACATTAACTACCAGAAGAAACGGAGAGTGAGCAGACGAGTTTTAAACTCGGCTAGATGAAGTTTTAATAATTATCAATAGATCCTGAGGACACCTTCAAATGTCAGTGGTTTCTGTTCAATATAGCGGTTTTATTGTTACCTGTTCCATTAGCATTTATGCCATTGCAATAAGCCCTTTGTGGAGTTGTCTTTTCTGTGGAATATTTTTAGAGTTCTACATCAGCGTCTATTAAGACCTATTGACCCTTTGTAATCGCTGAAGCCATCCGATCTCCTCTTCCAGTTTGTGGTATGCGTGTCTTTTTCCGAAAAATGGAGGGACCTACAATTTATCATAGAGGGCGGCAAATTATTTTTTATGAGGATTTTTTAATTTACGTCAGAAATACGATCGGAGGGATTGACACCTCCTGCCAAGGAGCGACCGCAGTTATAAAAATTAAATTAATTTTTTTCATGTTTTAATTTTCTATAATTTTGGATAGTGGTCGGAACTGGGTCCTGGGCTTCCGATTGACAGTAAGCACTACTAACCACACGGCATTATGAGCACTTGAATTTTTCAACGGGAGGGAGTGATATCCTCGGTGGAAAAGTCGAAAACGACACCACCGTCAGCTGGTTCCCGAATTATGGTTGTCTGTTGTATTAAAATCCAAGAAAATTCAACAAGCGGATTGGAAAAAATTGTTTTAAATGTGTAACTGTTGCTGTTGAAAGTCATAATTTTAAAGTCTATGGTAATGTACTTTGGGGAATATTTTTACGGTTACAACAATAACAACAACAGTCCTGAAATCTAACGCGGAACTACTATGGTCAAAATTGAAATCCTGTCTCGACGATTACAGCCCCAACCAGATATAGATAGATGCTAACGACGTTCGTTGTGTCAGCGCTAGGAGTTTTCGGGGGAAAGATTCTGTGAACGTTTTACGGATCATTACATACTGGTGATGCGAATTACGATGACAATGGACCCATGAGATGTGCGGGAAAAATGGTAACATTGACACATATACATAGTTCAGTGGATCAAGTTGGCTAGATCATGTTGTCCGAATGGATGAAAGCACTGAAGCTTCGAAAGTCTTCGATGCAGTACGCGCCCGCCGAAAACATTAGGTTGAGAAAAACCTGGCTTAGTTTCCAGTATCCAACTGGCATCGAATGACATGAATTAAGAAAAGACTAGCACGTGATTATAGACAATAACCGCGCGAGGGTAGCCTGCGACAACCAGACAACCAATCACCCTCCATCAGTAGGGAAATCTTCCTTATTTATTGCTACTTCGTTCAATACAAAGCCGCATAAATACAGCCAATATCCTGTAAAAAATATTTATGTTTATAAATAAAATCGCATATATATACATACATATGCAGAGAGGTTAAGTACATTAAGTTCATGTGGCTGACAGACGGCTTCATTCAGCTGCACAGCCCAAATGCACTGATAACTTGCCCACCCATATCTGCTTGTTGCTACTGACTTTTGATCCCTTTGTGTGTCTTCTTTCACGGCAATTTCGCCTGTCTATGGTAATGTTTATTATGGTGCCGGCCGTCTTCCAATATGTGCTGTCATCGAAGCAAAAGAAAAAGTAAATTAAAAATTCAATAACCTGTTTAATCAGTACAAAGTCTAAAGATTTTCCAGAGACTTAACACAATCTTAATTCAAGCCCAGTACCGTTTTATTTTATACTATGTATTTTTTGGTTGTTAAAATAGTTTAAGATCGTCGAATTAAGGGTTCAAAGGCGTCTACTGCAGCCAAAAGCTGGATCTGAATTGGTCTTTGGCCACTCTAAAAACACTCGACATGTGGAAAATGGGAACGGTAATCCCCCTACTTGAGCCAGGAAAGCCAGCCCAAAAAAGAGAGAACTATATCCGCCCCAGTGGCGAAGAAAATTGAGGGTTTGCTGCTTCTGTCCTTCACACACACCTTCATGGCTTCCGAAAAGTGCACAGCACCACACCTACATTTAACGCCATAAATACCCAGAAATTTCCAGGCCTTAAGCAAAACCGGCCCTGCGTGGGAAGCGGCCTTTTAGCACTGGTTCTGTCAAAAGCTTTTGAAACCATCAATCATTCAGTGCTACTATCGGACATTGAAGATTCCTCATAACCGCGAAGCTAGAAGAGGTGGTCCACTGAGTGATTGGGAGTTATCGACAGAGTTTCGAGGTCAAACTGTTTAACTCCGTAAAATTGAAACAGGAGTTCCGCAGGGTAGTGTCCTCTTCTCGATTCTGTTTAATATCTATGATTTCTCAGTGTTGGGGTCTGCAATGCCTTGCTGTGCTAGCTTTGTCTGCTGCAATGTTACCGGAACAGTGTATTCAGACTTCAAGGACTTAATTGTCATAAATAAACGCAAAGATATTCTTTGCCCGGGGCCAACTACTTAGAATTTGAACCCATGCCGCTATCCTAATTTGTTTTTTATAAAACGAAATTGCTTTACCTATCATCATTTCTCTAATTCGTTACAGATCATGGACGAGATCAAGGCTGGCGTTAAACATCTTTTCCAAACAGAGAACGTGGCGACAATGTGTGTCAGCGGCTCAGGACATGCTGGTATGGAGACGGCTTTTGTTAATCTCGTTGAAGATGGTGACGTTGTACTATTAGCCTGTACCGGATTGTGGGGTCATCGGGCTGCCGAAATGGTTAAACGTGTGAATGGTGATGTACGTTATGTGGAATCTCGTTTCGGTCGTTCGCTGTCTATAAAAGAAATTGAATTCGCCTTTGAGGGCCACAAACCACAAGTATTCTTCATTGCGCAAGGTGACTCTTCAACCGGCATTTTGCAGCAAAATTTGAAGGAAATCGGCGAACTTTGCGAGAAATATAATTGCCTCTTCGTGGTCGATACGGTGGCGTCATTGGGTGGCACTGAGTTTCTAATGGATGCCTGGAAGGTTGATATGGCTTATACCGGCTCGCAGAAAGTGCTCGGCGCACCGCCTGGCATTACACCTGTCTCGTTCAGTGATCGCGCCATTGCACGCATTAAGGCACGCAAAACATATGTCAAATCTTATTACTTCGATGCGTTACTTGTCGGTCAATATTGGAATTGTTTCGAAGCGCCCCGCATCTATCATCACACCATCTCCTCGACGTTGCTATACGGTTTGCGTGAGGCGTTGGCGCAATTCTGTACAATGGGCCGGAAGAATGTTATACGTCGCCATCAAGAATGCTCTCATCGGCTGCAGTGTGGTGTGGAAGAAATAGGTCTGGAAATGCTCGTGCCGAAAGCAAATGATCGCTTGCCAACTGTGAACACAATCAAGGTACCGGTGGGTGTGGATTGGCGTAAGGTGTCCGATTATGCGATGAGAAAGTGAGTGCGCGATTTGTATACTCATTACCCGATAATGGTCGTGAATTAATTCTTGACATTTTCATACATTTCAGATACAAGTTGGAGATAAGTGGTGGTTTGGGACCTACTGCCGAGCAAGTTTTCCGTATTGGACTGATGGGTGAGAATGCCACATACGAACGCGTCGATTTGGTGCTCAATATTTTGCATGAAGCTATACAAAGCTCAAAAATACCGGAAAAATCCAAAATTTGATAGATCTTATGTATCGCAGTCATCTTTGTATGTATTTCCCTACGAATTGTTAACGGTATACAGATATACTCGTACATATTTGTACAGCTAATTTTACTTTTAATCTTATACATTAGTACTCTTTAAGTTTAAAATGGTAAATAAAAACATGAAATAGTATGTATCAATTTTACTTGTGGCTGAAATGGGAATACGGTTTCTTCCATCATTTAAAAGCAAAAAAATAAATGACTTAGAGATTCATGTCGAACTGGAATTCATTGCCGGATAGTAGCAATATTACGCATACATCAATTACACCAGAATTATGAGGATTTCTGAGGCCATTTGCAGCGAGTGCGTCAACACTTTAATGACTCTTATGAATAGCCTGCATAGAATTCAACTATCACCTATTACAGACGAAGACCTCGAGCTGCCTCGCAAGACTCTAGTGAAACTGGAACAATTGAGATCTGGATACTGTAGACCACTCAACTTTTATCAAGGCTTGGCCCTGACATATCTAACTTACATATGTCCTGCATGCAATGAATCCCCACTCGACTAATCACCTCCTTACGTGCACACTAAAGCTTACTCATCTAACCCCTTTCTTCTCTGATACGAATCCGTTCTCTGATCCTTCCGTTAGATGATCTCAACAACATCGACTAATTTCGACTGTTTCTAATCGGTGTTAAACGAGACCATACAACAACCTCAACAAATAACTACTTCTTTCGTTTCTAAGAGAGTATCGCGGTGGTTTTCGTGGAAGGGAAGCCGTAGCTGACATCTTAGAACTCAAGTAGTCCATTCGGTTGACACACATACCAAAATTGACTACTTACCCGAATGAATCCCTTTCTGGTGTTTGTCGAAGCTCAGCGATACAGAAGCTAAAAGGTAATACGAATACTAGTCTGTCAAACTCTGTGGGCGTTGCAAATGATACCAAACTGAACTGGAAAATGAACATTGAAGACAAGAAGACATTTGTATAGGTCTTAAGTCGAACAGTCGGGGTTACATCATGCATACATCTTCATTCGTAGACTAACAGTCTCCGCTATCACACTTCAGAAGTGGGGAAAGTGGTATACTAGACTACCACTATTAAGTAAATCAGTCTACATTCTCCCAATATGAGAATTCAATGGTTACTTCCGGTCGCGGATACGCTCTAGAGTTGACACCGACAGGTACCTAATATACTGTGGGGTGGGAGCGGGGCATAATTTGAATAACTCAAAACTTTTCTTAATTAACGTCTGGCAAACTCAGCAAATGTCTAGTAATGGAGCTCTAATACGGAGGGTGCAAAGGAAAAAATATACTCGGATAGACAGCCGACACTGAATTCTAATAAATGTACTTTGTACTTTTTTATACTACATTTGAAATGCTCTTCAAGTTAATAGTTCCAAATGCCTGATTTGTCACTAACCCAAAGTTCGAGAAGAGGTGATAACAATCTACTCTTTGTTATTGATGTTGTTGTAGCCACAAATATTTTCTCCAAAGTGGTTTTTGTGGAATGTTGCGGGAGTGACAGTCCTTGGCTAGATAAAAATCCGGTTCGTTCCGGCATAAAGACCCCCCTGTCGCGGAAACTACTTTTTAGTGGTCTCATGGCTTTGGGATCTTCCTGTAACTTAGAAATACGTGCATCCAGTCCTGTTGTTTCCAACCGATCTATTCTAGAGAGCCGATTCATTCGTTCATTCCCTTATACAAGTCATCAATGCTATGAGATGACTCTCATCGACAGTTTGCATGATGTGAACATCCACCAGACGCTTCGGTGTTTATAGGAGAAATGGAGTTACATTTATTGAGCGATAGTTCTATAAGTGCCGTCTCTTATCTTCATTGGGCATGAATACTACTGTAGCTTCTCGCCATGAGACTGCTTAGAGGCAGGCTAGTTATTCTAAGTCACCGAGGAAACGAGCCGTTTCAACTTGTTCAAAGGTAGAGAGGGGTTAAATCTGCTGTTTTGGGGGCATATAAAAAGGTGTTTAGTGTCGGAGACTTGTTACATGCTGGACATATATAAGGTGCGTTGCGGAGACTTGTTACATGCTGGACATATATAAGGTGCGTTGCGGTCGATATGTAGTCGGATAGGTAGTAGTTTAACGTGCTAAAATACCTAGATCTAAGTTGCGCCAGTATTCCACGGTACTCTCCAGACAGCTCGAGTTCTCTTCTTTTGCAGAGCTTGCTTAGAAATTATATGACCCTGTCTTTAGTCCCCCAGAGCATAACAGGAAAAATTCCACCCAATCATTTATAATCCGACGTCTGTTGTGTTCGTTTAACCTCGACTTGAACCGCTAAGCCACCAACGCTTCCCATCTGCTCCGCTGACTTCACTCAAACTCTTCCTTTGGATGACACTGGTATTTGAAACTTTACCGCACCGAAAGGAATCAGCATTACCTACCGAAACATTGTCTTCTGGTCGAGGAGACCTAACAGCAAGCCCAAGAAACTAACTGCTTCAACGGATTAGGATCATGAAAGGGGTATTAAGAAGGACTATTTCAATGAAGTAAATAGAGGGTACAAGCGCTTACGAAGTACAAGCGACTAACTGCGTCATTTTTGACCATAAAGACAACGCTGGGGCATAAACTTCTTCCAAAATAATAACACATAATTACATAAGTACTAATTCGCATTTTCTACACTTAATAAAAAAATCTAGCAAACATTTAGTGTACAAAAAAATTATTTAAGATTTTTATTGTAATACATACATAAGTAATAATACATCATGACAAATTCAGATTCTACTAAATTTATTTTCAGTGTGGGGATATGCACATGTTGCATTGTCGCACGCAGCATACAAATACTAATATATTAAACGGCTGCTCAGCGCATCAATAACAATACAATTCAATATACATACATATATAACTTAATTCAATAAAATTTATCGAATTCGCGACATACTCATATAACTGTATGTATGTATGTACCTGCATATGCATGTGGAATACTTCTTGTTTCATATAAATAATTAGTTTTTTTTTTAACTTTATTTGTTGTTTTAATTTCTTGTTAATAAGCGATTTTTTAATTAAGTTCATTAATATTGAAACAGGTATGCTTGTAAAGGGAATTATAAACGTTTTCTTTATATTAATTTATTTTATTTACTTAAGTAAATGCACGACCTCAGCTGAACGAATAACATTTTCATTTAACCATTCATGACCATACGCACGAATTCTTCATAGTTGACATTGCCTTGTGTGTCTTCTTGATTGGTCATTAGCTGTTCGACCTCTTCATCGGTCAACTTTTCACCCAAAGTGGTTAATAAATGTCTCAATTCGGCTGATGAAATAAAACCGCTGGCATCCTTGTCGAAATGGCGTAGACCTTCGATGAAATCATCAGCAGTATCACCAGAACGTGCCTTCGAAATTGCCTGATAGATGGGCAAGAATACTTCAAAACTAATACGTTCATCCGGTTTCAGTTGGTGTGTACATTTCTTCACATCCGATTCGGTGGGATTTTGGCCGAGCGCACGCAGGCACTCACCCACTTGACTCAATTGGATTTTGCCATCACCACGATTATCGAAGAGGTTGAAGGCTTCTTGAAATTCTACGGAATTGAAAAGAAAAAATCAATTTCTCAAATAATTTCAAAATAAAATTAATCAAAACACAACCTTCAACTGTGGTAAATGAATTTTTTGTTGGTTGCTCGTAGATGTACATTGCACAGCGGATAAACACACAATTAAATCGATTTGTGTACAATCAATAAATAAAAATTCACAATACTAAACCACTGTGTTGCATGTTACGTGTAACTGACGACTGAAATGCGCAAAAGTGGTTTGCTGATATGCCACCGCAAAAACATTGAAGGTGAACGTGAGTGTTCATTATATGGGCTGGCTTTTGATGCACAGAACACAAGTAACAAAGCAATAATGGCATTTAAATTTATGAGTTTAACTTTAGGCTGGTACTTAAAATTGACAAGTGTATAGCCCTTTTTCCTAATAACAAATATTTATATTTAACAAAATAAAAAAAAATAAAATTCTTCCATCTACACACCCTGTAATGAAATTTGCTATCAATGCAGTTTTGTAATTTTTTCCATATATGGCGGAACATGTTTTTTCAACGAGTAATGCCTTTTTGGTAGCACATCGACGTCGCTTGCTGCACTCATTCTGATCTACGGCTGCCTTCATATATGTTGTAACAACATTGCCAGTAAACAATTGGAAGACGACGAGCGTATAGATACATATATACATACGTAAACATAAAAATGTTTTAATAAATAATCAGGATTGACATCCAAGGAACATATTTCCTAATGCACGCTTTTTGTGAGTTGAATAATAAATTTGTTTGACTTTTTTAATATTTGTATAAACGGTGTTGAAATTGGAATATTCTAATAGGGAACTACCTGAAATTATTTTTCATTATCTACTCCTTACATGAATAATAGTGTGGTTGAGTAAGCTTTAACCTTTTCCGTTTTAAAAACGCAATAAATAAACAGATATCAAATATGTGATGCTAAATTAAAGATAAGCGGAGAAATATTTTTCTTTAAGTTAACCGTTATTAAAGGTTGTCATGTATGTTTTGTAGTAAATTAGTTATTATACATTATTGTAAAGTTTACTTGTATCTACTCCCATAGTTGATATTTGCAAAATCTCACCCATGCCTTTTTAAAAATATTCGTATGCAACATATTGGAACATATGTAAACGGCCAACTTGACCATAAAATAATTGAGGGCAATACATTTTCGCATTTAAAATTACCGAATAAGGCAAGGAGACGACGATACCTTGACGTAAACATTTTGGCGCTCATATAAATAGAGAGTACGAACAGCAAATTAATTTCATTTCAACGATAACTTGGCAGCGGCTTACGTAGAATGATACTCGCTTGCCAATAAAATAATAAATATCACATCAATAAATTGATAACTTCTACAAGCCGAACGTAATAAAATTGTTGATTAAGCAGCAGCTGTATTGAAGAACAGTGCGCATATTGTGAGCGTGCATTAATTTCATTGTTAAAGTTTAGTACATATTTTTCCATGTGTGTACACTTACTCCCCTAATCACAAAATGGTGTTCATTTATTGATGGAGTCATCGTTTGCCACTTATTGCTATACGAAAGCAACGTTAGCATACTGCAGTGATATCTTTTAACTTTTTTTCTTATTTGCTTTTTGTTGCTTAAGTACTTTGGTATGTGAAACCGTCATTCGACCAAAGAAAAGTGAGTCATCAATGGGCCAGAAGTAGCCGCAACAATTTGGTCCATATTAGCAATATTTGTTTAATTTCTATCACTTTTAAGTTTACGATGTAATTTTTAAAGAAACTCTTTTAAGTTTTAAACTTCTTTTTTTATCAATAATGCAGGTACATCGGTGTTTAAAATCTAGTTCAACATCTTTATCCGCTGTGCCACCCACAGTCAAATATAATTCTTTGTTTTCTTTTCCCACTCACCTGCCAATTGATCCTCACTGAAGTTTGTCTGTAATAGAATTTTCAAGAATTACAAATTACTTTTTGGATATTTAATAAAATTTACCATTTTTTGTTACTTTTGAGGAAAAAGTCGGAAATGTAAAAAAAAATTCAGAAAACTTTACACACGTCAAATTGGCACAAATTCTTTTTTGGAATGTGTCAGCGACCGACGGCTAAAGTTGTTGCCAGCTTATGCAAATTCAAAAGTTGCCAGATTTTTGTTACCTCCTATTTATTTAGTTTTAGTTAAATCTTTAATTATAATTTTTTCTATAATAAGAAATTTTATAATACATCATACAAAATAATAAACACTAAATAATAGTTAATAAATCAATAATTAGCAAAAAAACATCTATTAACTTCTAACAAATGTTTGTTTCATTTAAAGAAAATTACATATGTAGGGACATAGCTACGGCATTGCGTTTAAGCCAAATCCGCCCACTCTTGGTAGATAAACCTGGTTTATGGATACTCCCTGGTACTTTCCTCTCTTCATGTAGCTTAGCGTAGCTTTTCCTGCGAGCCCTCTGCTCAAAATTACCGGGTTTCGCTCCACAATTCTCTTCGTTTTCTTCTACATGCTATAGCGTAGCATTTAAGCCAGCCCCTCACCTCTCTTAGCTGCTTCACTCCAAAAAATCTAAAAAAAGTCTCAAAACTTTTTTGTCTCATCCTTTTTTGTTTGCGTCATTACAAAAAACCATGAAATTTATATTCATCAAATAAATGACCTGCAACAAATTAAGGGTCTAAATTCAGACTTACGGATATTGTAATCCGTCAAGGTATTCGAGGTAAAACGAGATGAAGAGATAAGTAAAGTGAATTTGCCCAAAAGTGATAATATTCAAAAGGTAAATGCGCCTAAAAAATCAGAAATGGCTTACCTTTGGTGTTTCGGTAGCGTTAAGTTAACCTCTATGAGTCAGGCAACGGTAAGAGCACCAATCGTGTTATTATAACGTTCTTTCTTGTAAAGTTTTACGATGGCGATTAACGTTTACAATTACAACCCTGCATGAGGTAAGAAGCAACTCTGATAAATTCGCACAACAAAAAGGAATGAGTCAAAAATATTTGCAACAAGAGAAGTCAAGTTAATAAAGAGAATAAGAAAAGAAAACAAAATAGAATTGCAAGCAGCTGTGAGTAGACAAACAAGTCATACGACCAGGAACAAATGCAATAACTACGCATAACGCGAATTCATAATACCAGAAACTGCTTTTAACCAGAGTTTTTCTGCGTTCGTGCTTGACGCTTGGCAATTGAGGTTCTTGTGCATACCCTCGTATACGTACAAATGTATTGGTGTATTCTGCATTTCGTCGGACAACTTTCAATTGGAGACAAAAGCTGAAGCGAACGAAAAAAAAATACATATATAATAATAAGCAAACGACAAAAACAGAACAAGCAGAGGAATTTCATACATATTTTGTACACTGCAAATACTTGGATCAGCTCGAACGCAATTTAATTCGCTGTCATTCGTCGACGACAACGTTCGTTCGCTATTCGTTATAGCCAACACTACATACTTTCTGCACGCAGAAGATCAGCAGGGAGTTAAATATTATTGAATATGTACCAATATAAAATCAAAATCAATTGTAAAATATAAAAAATTTTACTGCAATATTGTTGGCAAAATACTTCGGCTGATAATCGGTAGTACGTTAAAGTTTTCAAATTGTGCCAGAGAGTGTAATGATAGTTTATGAAAATTCGATCAATAGTATTTAAAAAAAAAAAATAGCTTTTGCTGCAAAGGAAAATTTAGAAGCGCAAATTGGTAAAATTCATTTACGCGAATGTGTTAATTACTTTTATAGGTGTGTTTGTGAGTTTGCCAACAGCAGTTGCTTATGTTCAAATGTGTGTGCTTTGTGGTCGATTCTGAATTGATGCGGCGATATCTTGGCAACAGACAATTGATTTGCGGAAGTGCAGAAAAATTAAGCACAAGTATTGTATAAATAATAAATTGTGAAAATTGAACAATCAACTGCTATTACAAATCAATACATGTACAGAGTTAAATTGCATTTGTTTGTCACACGAAAAATTTGATGTTACTAAAAGAAAAAAAAAAAATTAAAAAAAACAGAGCTACAGCAAAGTAGTGAAAAAGCAGAAAAATCAATCATGCAAATTTAGTATATGCACTTTAAATGCAAGGGAATAATCAAAACGAATAAAGAAGCAGCATAATAAAGCAAACAACTTATGCATATGTGTGCAATATGCAATGCACAGAATAGAAAAGTGTAAAGAGAAACAATAAAAAACATTCGCTGATAACGGAGAGTAAAAAGTTGAATCTTCTTTCATTTTGCATATTCTGTTGTTCGCCGTTAAGACAACTGATAAAAAATTAAAGTGCCGATTGATTGTTGATAAACGAAAGCTTCAGACTTGCTTAAGGTATTATTGAAATTTATGAAAATCAACGGAACGAAACTTGATTAAATATTTCTCTATACGGTGCATCATTAAAAAGTGCAAGGAGTTAGCAACAACCAACACATTCTTATTGGAATAATATATGTAAATCGTTGGTGACGTGAAAACGAATTCCTTTGTTAGAAAATAAAGGTCGCGATTATGTATATGAAAGGTGCTTAAGTGTGGACATCAGATAACAAATAAAGTTTTCCAAATATCTACTTAAATTTTTCAATAAATGACTAAGGCGGTAAGGTTATATTTAATTTTTAAACTACGCATTTCGTGTCGGAGAGAGCGCTAAAAATAAATAAAGAACGAAATAAGCGATAAAAAGTGGCCTAAAGTCATAAATGACATTGTAATTTCTTATTATATTCGGTTTAACTCTTGCCAGCAAATCGGTCTGTTGATAAATAAAGCAGAGATAAGGAAATTTTTATTGAAATATACACATATGTACATCCTCAAAATAGCACTTTGTAAACCTTTAGATGTTTTGTAAAATTACCGCGCTGTGTAACTTTTTCAGTGTTTCATACAATTGCTGTAATCCACTAAAAACAAGTGGATTCGTGCAAAATTCCGACTTCTAGTTAGAAATATATAAAAAAATTACAAATTTATCGAAAAGTGGCAAAGATGACCGGCATTGCCGTGAATTCTGCATCAGGGTTTCGCCTACAACGTAACGACGTAAGTTAAAAAAAATAATTTTTTTATTTTCTTTTTCTTCAATTTATTTAGTTTTATTGAGTTATGTATATTTTTAACTACATATTCATAAATGCATAAACTCATGTAGGTATTTAATATATAATTTCATAATTTTTTGTATATTATATTTATACATTTCCACTGCAAACTTAATCACATATTACATTTTC